TTGACAGTGAAGATAGTGATAGAAACTGGAAATTAGGCTTTGGGTAGAGAATTTCAAGTTGATATGAGATGCATTTGGCAGTGAAAATCTAAAGAAGAATTGGATAAAATACCTAATAATAAAAAATCTTGTCAGACTCGCATCATAACCTAGCCTGTTTTGGAAGATAACTTAGATAAATGAACAACAGGGCAGAGAAAAAAAGGATGGTTAGATTTTTAAGCAAATATAACTGCTCAACAAATGGGGATGAAAAATTTCATTGAAGGACCTAATTGGTGTTCCAGGTCATGAATTGAAAGAAATTATCCATTAGGATCATAAAACAATAGAACAGAAGCTTATTGTGGACTGGGCTCGAAAAACAAGATAGAATTTCTGAAGTATACATTTAAGAAAATTAAAGAACAAAATCTAAATAGAGGGCAAATAACAAGAATGAAGTGCCTGTTACTTTTGACTAGGTGAAAAAATACTTTTATGTTAGCAACTGGAAATGAAAAGACATCTTTTACTTGTCTTTTTGGCTGTGGCACCAACAGACAGAAATTAACACCTTAGATGATTTCCAAAAGAAAAACGGTTCCAAGATTAAACTTCCTTAAAGGGGTCATTATTTGCACTGACAAAAAAGGATGGTGAAGAAAAGACTATAGAAATTTATCAAAAAATAAAATGTAGCAGAATCGTTCTTCCTGAAAGAAATTTAACGAAAAAGGAAAGGTGCTTTTTTCCAACCTCGGGAACTCAACATTCTGGATTTAATCCAATCCTACTTAGTGGTCATGGTAAAATCCGAAACAAAAAAATTAATGTAGCACTGATGTCTCAGTGATACCAGGTGGATAGGCTTATAGCCCCTGGATCTCCCCAGCAGTAGAATTTTTAAGCACGAGCTAAGAAAGCAGTGGGAAGAATGGATGCAAAGCAAACTCCATGCTTCCAAAATTACCGATGGATAAGAAAGATTCCATACTAGGAAGCTGCCTTGTGGGTCAATAAAACATGGCAACCAGCCCGAGTTGATACGACTATACAGTCAAAAGTCGTTAATCCGGACTCGTCGGGACTTCGGCAATTCCGGATTATCGATTTTTCCGGATTATAGATCATCAGTTTAAATCTGGTAAGACCGCATGCAGAAATTATAAAATTAAAAATATGAAACCTAATTTATGAAATAAAGAACAATTATGATCTAAAGGGTATCAAAATTAAAAAAAAAAAAAAGCTTAATATTTATTTGTTTATTTTACTTTCTTCGTTATCGGAAGCGAATTATAATGACGAGGAATTTGATAAATCATATCAAAGATGGAGTACATCGAGATGAAATACTACATTTAGTAAGGAATTATAAGCCAAATAAAATAAAAACATCTGCCCTGAAGATAAGGATAGTGCTGACAGATCAACTTCCAATTCATTGCACGCCGCAGCATCCCCCCGCCGCAGAGCAGCGTGAAATTGATAAACAGATTTCGGAATGGCTAGATAAACAAAGGATATGCCTTTATCCATTTTTTGCAGCAATTCCACTTTTTGTTTAATGGACTTCGAAACATACTTTCGCTTTGTAGATCCTATACATATTAGTAAATATATATCAGAAATTCTATTTGACATAATCGAAAGTTCAAGCTTACTTTTATAAAATTGTTCTAACAGTCTGCAAAAAATCATAAGCCGGATCCAATTTGAAGATTAAGGAACAACGCAATCTGCAACGTTAACTGAATTAGATAATTTAGCTTAGCTTATACCGTCCGTTATACATTAAACGCGCATGTGTAAACGTATTTTGGGCATGCGCACACGCATATTCACAGCTGTAAAGATCTTACGCGCATGCGCAGAAAGTTTGTAGCTTTCAGGTCCGGATTCTGGATGTCCGAATTAACGACTTTTGACTGTATCAGCTTTCATTAAATCGGAAAGCATCAAAAAAGAAAATAAAGATATTGATGCTGAAAGAAGCGATTTAAAACAGAATGATGAAATAGACCTTATTAAATTTATATATTGATTAGTTGGATTTTGAAGGTTTTTATAAATAAAAGTAGTTTATTTTAATTACAAAATTATGTTTGATTATCCAATTTACATATCCTTTTTCATAATATGATAATTTATGGTAATAAAGAAAGTTTAATGAATCTGAAAAAAATAAGGTCTATTAGAAATCAGCAGATTTCAGTTTTGGCAAGTTAAAGGTAAGATGTTTATGTTTTCATTTATAACTTACTGATTATACTTAAGTTGAAAATGTTATCAATGATGATTACAACAGTATGGAAAGGAATTACTGAATAAATGAATATTAAGTGTCATGTTATGGAAGGCTTTGGTGTGGCAAATCTGATGAACTTTTACAAAATTCAATGTGATGGTACTTCTACCTTGCTCTTACATTTTTCCAAGCAATAACGAAAATAAAACTAACTAAGTCAATTATCGTGTATGCGGCGTATACACCAGACAGGCTCTTTTGCCCAAATTATGGTACATGAAATTTCTAGCAAATGTATTAGTTTTTAAATTTTTCTTGAAAGTATAGATAGTTATAACATGGAAATATACAAGGCTAATCTTTGGAATATGGTAACAGGTAGTTTGGCGACATTTTGGTAAGGAGATAAAGGGTACTAGCTAGGACTTTAGCAGTGTACATGGATAAAGTCAAGAGTGTGCGCAATGCCATTTTTGTGCAATTCTGGGATGTTTTTTAAAGTGAAAATAGGTCGATGTGTACATGGATACCGCGTATGTGCAATTCTTAAAAACACGGCAAGCAGTTCTGCACTTTCTCCCAATTTCGCACCTAATCTTCGTCATGATTAAGCACTTTTGTTCCATAAAAGTTGTAGCATAAGCGTAATTCTGCTAGCAGATTGTTGGAAAGAAATGTTGAGTTAAAAAAAAAAAAAAAAAGAAAAATGCCTTTACTTTGTGAAAACAAAATGGCGTCCAAGAAAGAACTCGCAGGTTGCTGTAGCAGGGTTGGTCTGCAAATTTTCGCCAAAAAATTGCCAAGTTACCATAATCCGAAGATTAACCAACATGCCTTTACTTCGTGAAAACAAAATGGTGTCAAAAAAAAAAAAAAAAAAAAACTAGCAGGTTGCTGTAGCAGGGTTGGTCGCCAAATTTTTGCCAAAAAATCACCAAGTTACCATGATCCGAAGATTAACCAAATATACACTAGTGTTGAAGCAAAATATAAAGACAAATTATCAAGAAATTTAGGGTTGTCTAAATTTTAGGGTACTTTTTGGATGACTGCAGAGTTGTTGTTTCGTTTATGGTAACCTGAGTATTTAACGCTGAATGTTATGAAAACCCTATTATGATGTGATTGGTTGTAATGTTTGACTGCGGTGATTTTGACTGTTGGGAAAATATTTCTCGAGGCTTACTTAAATGTTGGATGTTGGTTAAAAAGTACATTGCTTATTTTGTGCTTTATACTGTAAAATGCCTACTGGTGGCACAATTAACCTGAAGTTTCTGTATACTTTGGAAAGAGTGGGAAAGAAAACATTGATTAACTGGTGTGTAAATGAAGATTTATATAGGTTCATTTACCCTCAGTAAATTGTGCAGTGATATTTAAGTACTTGGAAACCAGAACTCATATCAACACTATGGAAGGTATATGGGATGTAATAAAAAGGGATTTTCGAAAGAAATGCCACCAACAGTCCAGAGGATATTTTTCTTTTTTACTTTTGTGAATTTATGTGGTGACAACAGTCTACGTATTTTAGTTCATATAATTTTAAACAGTTTTTGAATGCTGTTAAGGAATTCTGTGTGCAACACACTGAACATACAGGAATTTCTAAATAAGGTACGTCAATATTTCCTTTTTGTACTGTGCAGATTAGATAACATGTGTTTCCATTTTTATGTGATTTCCTTGTTTTATTTTGATATGATTTTGTGCAGTTTATTGAGATAATATATTTTTTAAAGTTTTAATTATGTTTTGGACACTATTTTTATTGGGAGGGTGTTTCACTAGTTTTCGCCAAGGGGTACCACAAAATATGTTTTTCCCGAAATTTACTTTGTATTAAACATTGAAACTGAAAAAACAATAAAAATGATAACATCATTCACTTTTTCATAATGACATTCAATATATAGAGTACAGAAATCATAAGTATTGCCAAAGTTAAAGGAAAATCTATAGATATTTTTAATGTAAAGATTTTGTACAATGCTTTTAATTAAAAATTAAACACTTACCAGAACATAATAAACATATTATAAATCTAATAATTAGATATTAAACAAATTTTTTGATTACTTTACTTTAAGTCACTTTTTCATTAAAAGAGATGCTTTCCAATCTTTTCAGACAGCTGAGATGATTTCAAAACTTACTTCCCTATTTTATGCTTAGCTTTTAAGGCTAGTCAGTTACAGATACGTTAATTTTTATTTAAATTAAACATTAAATAAATCAAAATAAAAAAAGCAATAAATTATTTTGAAGTTCTTGCTTTGAAAATTTGTATTTGTTACACTAGCGAAAACCATACACATACATTCTTCTCTCAGTCATCACCAGAATGCAAATTAGGTTGAATTTAAAAAGTGAGCGAGTTTGTGAGAGAGAGAGATCTAAGATAACTCACTAGAAAGCTGTTTATCTCTAAAGCATCCACCAGATAGAAACAAATGCTTTTAAATACAAATAATTAAAACCATAAATATTCAATTAATGCTTAATAATTATTGACTGTATTTTATCCAACAGATGTATGACACATTACTTCCTTTATTTTGAAGATTTAAAAATTAATACCTCCTTAAATACTTCTAGTATAATTTATTTATTTAAGGGATTTTTTTTTTAAATCTCATCGTAGAAGCGTTACCACATAGCTTGTTTTCCCCCTACGTGGAAGTATTAGCAACAATGTTAAAATGCTGTTGGTAAAAGATGCTGTTTAAACGAATTGACACAAAATAAATATTAAACATAAACATACTTCTGAATCTCATCATCTGTAATCTTCTCCTTGTCCCAGTTGAACAATGCCGCTCCAAATAGCACTGCAAACGGTCGTTTCTTTAAACGAAAGTTCTTTGCAAATTGAGAAATGATTTGTTTGATTGTGTTTTCAGTATATAATCGAGCGTATAAGTTCCATACCTGAGATGTACGCCGGACTCTTTGTGACACAATAAAATTGCACTGCCTGGTTAGAATCTCTCCTAGGACAGCAAGTTTCTCGTTCACTTCTGTTTTAAAATATTCAAATAACTTTTTTCTGTCGTCGAAATGAAATATTGATTTAAACGTATACACTTTCTTATTGTTCGTATCAAATCGTGAGGAAAGAGCAAAAGATCTTCTAAGTTCTATAGATAGCTCACTTTCCCCATAGCCTCTATAATAACTACGAAAATTTCTAGCAATTTTATTGTAAACATAGCATCCATTCATATTTACGGAACCGTTTAATGCATCATATTCACATATTAACCCTTTGAATATTCATGTAACCTGTAGAGATGTATAAAATGTTTATGAATTATAAGTGAATATTCCAGAAGTAATTAACTGTATTAATAAACGCAAATTATTCGCAATTAAAAAGCACATTGGCGATTTAACCGGAGATAATTTTTGCCGGTACAGTTACAGCTGCAGCAGAACCAAGTTTTATAGCAAGGTCAAAGTTTAAATATATTCCTCAATTAAAGCAATTACGCAACTTTGAAAAAAATATAACATGTGAAATAATTACGATGAGACGTAATATATCATAAATCTTTATTACTAATTTTATTTCGCACATTAATCTTGCAATAAATTTTTATTTCGTTTGTAATTTTTTTCTCTATTTTTGTTTTATATCTGGCAGGAGCAATTTGTCCATAAACGTGTGTTTGTTTTGTTTTTCTCTAAGAAAAGATTTAATAGTATTTAGTGATGATATTATTTGAGAAACAATTGGGAATATGTATATTTTAATATAAGCTAGTGCTTGATAAAACATGGCTTGGAAAGTTTTACTTAATGAAGTCGAATTTCTAGCTCAAGTTGGTTATTACTTAACTATAGTGAGAATAAAAACAAAATAAATTAATTCGTTAACCATTGATCTTTAGTTTATTTTTTAATATTAATGTCGTTTTATAGTGTTTAAGAAAAATGTAATGTATGTTATTAAAAAAGTTATACGTTTTTGATTTATATGGACTGCGGTGGAAAAACATGAGATCGATGAGTATTTTCAAATTTGAATAATGGAATGTTGTATGAGCTACTTTGTCTTTATTTTAATAATTTATTTAATATGGCTTCTTGAACAAGTTCGTTTAGTATTTGACAGAGCTTATTTACAGAAGCATAAAAGTCTGGGAAATGTGTAATTTGGGTAAACTATCTTCTGAATTGTTAATTTAGAAAAAAAAAGGGGGGGGAATCGCTAAAAAAAGGAAATTTGTTTGACGAAAAAATACAGAAAATTCACTGCATGTTCATAAAATTATCACCGTGAGAAGAAATACCCATTGTAAACAATTTCTAAAATGCAATGAATGATTTTTTTTCCTGAGCCGTATTAATTTTTGCGTAATTTAACATTATACTGATGATGGTAAAAAAAGTCACTTTCAAAGCATGAGTAGATTTTTTTTGTGCATACAGTTAATTTTGATTTTTCATACATGTTTTTCATTTCATAACTTATATTCAGTATTATATATGATTTATAACTTATATCCAATCATGTCAAAATTAAACCAAAATTAATGTTTATGATTTATTTAAAATTGCTTCATATTTAGCAAATATATTAAAAACATATGAAAAAGTTATATAAAATAATTTCATAAAAATCTACTAGCTAGAATATGAAGCCTATTAGGCATTTAAATATTTGGTCAAAATGTTAGGAAATTAAGTAGTGCTTACCATGAGTCAGTTTAGATATATTTCTGTAAATGTATGTAAATGAAATACTGATCTGTAAATCTAGATCTGTTAAGAGGTACAGGTCATTGTTAGCCTCTCAGTATTTTTGATAATTTTTATCAAATGTGAATTCATTTATTATTGTCAAAATAAAGATTCATAGTAAGCAGTGGCTCATAATTTAGATTGAGCAGTTTTACATAGAAGATAAATTTGCATAAGCAGTAGTGTGGTATTTTAAATTTATATACAATCAAATTTTGATTTAACAAAATCAGATTTAATAATTTTTTCTTTCATTCTTAGAAGAATGTAAAGAAAGAGTTTTATGAGAGCTATGTAGAAAGCAAGTAGAAATTATCTTTGCTTCAAGCCCTGTGGTAAATGTTTATTTTGTCTCATTTTACAAATTAACTACAGCCTTTGGATGCAACAGAAAAACAGATTTTTATTATAAGATGAAATTGAATGCAATCCATGTATTCTCAAAGGGCACTGTTTATCAAACCTTTTAATTTCATGATCCTTCAGTATAAATCATGACTAATTGCTACACATATGAGCAGATCATTGCTCTGCCAAAAAAAAAGAAAAATACTTAGAAGAAAATAATATATATAATAATGATGTAATGAAAAATTAACTATTATTCATAGTTAATTCATAAGCAAAAATTTATGCATAATTGTGAGCAATTATCTATATATTTATACAACAAGAAAAAAGTACTGTTGATTTTTACAATATGGTAACTGGTAGTTTGGCGACATTTTGGAGGCGATAAAGGTTACTACCTGGCACTTTGGTAATAATGTGAGCAGTACTCAGTTCCGATTACGCATTATTTTGTGTGAGGGAAATGAGAGATCATGGGATTGTCATGTGATATTAATGGACAAATTACAGTTCTTTAATCGGAAAAAGGAAAAAAAGAGGGAAATCGGGAAAAAATCTGGAAAATTTGTATTTGGCTTTATTCTGTGTTTGTGTGATGAACAGTGTTCGTGAATTTTTGGATCCCATGGCCGTAACTAAAGTGAATTCGAAATGGGTATTTATGTATGTATTAATTTTAATGTATGTGCTCATTTATATTTTAAGTAGTGTTTTTGAATTTAATTATATTTTAATTAAATGATAGTTATTTTGTGAATTTTATGTTTGTAGGAATTTGGTATTACGTTTTAGTTGAAGTAAAACGTGCATGGAAATAATTAAATATCTGACAATAAGTATTGTAATAGTTGCGGTATGAATTCGTTGGTGACGTGCATAATGTAATAGATGATTTAGAGGTAAAAGTGGTTGATCTTTACATTATGGTAACTTGGCGTTTTTTTGGCGAAAATTTGGCGACCAACTCTCCTACAGCAACCCTCTATTTTTTTTTCCCGCCGCCATTTTGTCTTCACGAAGTAAAGACATGTTTCTTTCCTTTTTATCTACTGAACACTTCTTCCAACAATCTACTAGCCGAATTACACTTATGCTAGAAATTTTATGTAACAAAACTGCTTAATCATGACAATTATCACTGCAAAATTGGGAAAAAGGCACATACCATACTCCTTACGCGTTTTTCAAAATACACATACACATAAAACCATGTACACGCCGACTTATTTTACTATAAAACATCCCGAATGCACAAAAATGGCATTGCGCACACTCTTCACTATATCCATGTACACTGCTTTTTTTCTCATAAATTAGAAAATTCAACGAAATACGTGACAATTTCTCAATCTTTAAACCCGGTAAAAAGAACATATATGAAATTACCTGATCGCGAAAAAGTTACCTTTACCCTTTCCAAATATGAACATTTCCACATATAAAATAAATAAAATATCCAAAACTTTTACCTCTAAATCATCTATTACATTATACACGTCACCAACGAATTCATATCGCAAGCATTACAAATACTTAGTATCAAATATTTAAATTATTTCCATGCACGTTTACTTCAACTAAACGTGTAACCAAATCCTACAAACATAAAATTCACAAAATAACGATTCATTTAATTAAAATTCACTAACCATGTACACGCACTATTTTTACTTAAAAAAAACATCCCAGAATTGCACAAAAATGGCATTGCGCACACTCTTCACTATACATGTACACTGCTTTTCTCATAAATTAGAAAAATTTCACAAATACATGACAATTTTCTCAATCTTTAAACCCGGTAAAAAGAACTTATATGAAAGTACCTGATCGCGAAAAGTAATCAACATTTCCACATATAAAATAAATAAAATATCCAAAAACTTTTACCTCTAAATCATCTATTACTTATGCACGTCACCAACGAATTCATACCGCAAGCATTACAAATACTTAGTATCAAATATTTAAATTATTTCCATGCACGTTTACTTCAACTTTAAACGTATACCAAATTCCTACAAACATAAAATTCAAAAAATAACTAATCATTTAATTAAAATATCACTAAACCATGTACACGCCGACTTATTTTTACTTAAAAAAACATCCCAGAATTGCACAAAAATGGCATTGCGCACACCCTTCACTATATCCATGTACACTGCTTTTTTCTCATAAATTAGAAATACATGACAATTTTCTCAATCTTTAAACCCGGTAAAAAGAACATATATGAAATTACCTGATTACATACCTGATACCTGATACATTAAACACACATTTGTAAACGTATCTTGCGCATGCGCACACGCATATTCGCAGCCGTAAAGGTCTTACGCGCATGACGCATGCGCAGAAAGTTTTTAGCTTTGAGGTCCGGATTATGGGTGTCCGAATTAACGACTTTTGACTGTATCAGAAATTCTATTTGACATAATCGAAAGTTCAAGCTTACTTTTATAAAATTGCTCTAACAGTTTGCAAAAAATAATAAGCCGGATCCAATTTGAAGATTAAGGAACAACGCAAGCTGCAACATTAACTGAATTAGATAATTTTAGCTTAGCTTATACCGTCCGTTATACATTAAACGCGCATTCGTAAACGTATTTTGCACATGCGCACACGCATATTCGCAGCCGTAAAGGTCTTACGCTCATGACGCATTCGCAGAAAGTTTGTAGCTTTGAGGTCCGGATTATAGATCATTCCGGATTATGGGTGTCCTAATTAATGACTTTTGACTATATTCAACACTGAGATATATTTGTATTTGGACTTAAAACTGTATTCTATATCAGTTGGGCTATCCGCAGTTGCCTGTTTGTCTTCACCAGTTGATATACCAATACCCAAATTTGTTGATCGCATACGATTATCTAGCATCTCAATATCTATGATTGGGTTCAAAATCTTTCTTCCTTTTTCATTAGTATTAACAGCAGCAGCTCATAAACGTTCAGTTATACATGCTGTTTTGGAAGTATTTACTCCTATCCTTTGAGTCAGGCTTTACAGTCTGTCCTTAATCCAAATTACATCCCCATTAAATGCAGACTTTGTCACCAAAATGATGCCCGATTATCATTATGATCATCAGTGAATACATTCATAGTGTAAAGATGGCTATGGCATTTTTGCCTATCAGTGTATGCATATAATGAATTTTGGTACTTTTCCGTTTTGCCGGCGCAAACGATAAAGTCGCCAATAATGATACAACTACTGCCAAAGGGAATAGCTTCGCTGGTAACCTTTTACACTTCATTTTCAAAACAAGTCGCAGCCATTTCTTACCAGATTGATTTCTTCAATACTGGCATACAACTGCCATAAATATTTACAAAGATAATCAAATTTATGCCCCAAGAGCATTCGCGGTAATTAGTCAATTAGGATGCAATACACCACTCACCCGAAGGCGAAAATATAGAAATGCAAAATGTTGAATTTATCAATTGTAATGAGAATGCACTAGCGAAGTAAAGCACTACGGTTTTATATAACTTCTCAGTAAGCTATTCGTACGAATTGAAATAATTCTTGCATTTAAACTGTATTCAAAATAAGATTTACTTCAAATTAATGTAGATAATACTGAGAGAATTATATTTTTGTATCGTAGTTTACGTGAGATGAGACACTTGGGGTCACGTTATACGAACCCGGCGAATCCATGATACATAGTAAATTCTTAATGTCTTTTTACAAATTTTGTCTTTATTATTGGTTTTACAAAATATAAACCATATTAAAATGTTTATGCCTTCAAAAATAAAAATTTCTTAGAACTAACATTTGTTAACATTTTTTATGTGTATACTGTATGTTGTCGCCGACAAAGTCAGATTGGCGAGATTTGCGCCGGCGAAACGGAAAAGTACCTGAATTTTTTGTCTTAATATAGTTAATGATACAAGATGATTGCAAGAAGGATGCAGTCGTATGGGGGGATATGGTTCTTCATTTATGACGTAGCATTATCAGTGTAAACACGTTTATCTAAAGTTGTACAAGTACCCATTACCTCATAACTTAAGCACATGTTCATATATTCAAAGCATTATGACTAGCTTACAATGTGGCTGCAGATTATATGTCAGCTGTACAGAGGGCAGCCTGAGGAGAAATGTTATTGATATTTTATTAATAGAAAATAATTTATTTCTCACCAGAGGAATATAATTTCATTTAATTGTTATAGGTTTTTTATAATTGTTATAGGTTATAGGTATTTTTTGTATAGGAATGTAGGGTCTAAAGAGACATGTTAAGGCACGAACGCAGAAAATGGCACAGGAGGAAAAATGAGTTTATTTACAAAATCAACGCAAAGCGCTTCTTTGCAGCAATACAGTATTAGCAAGAAATGTTCAAAATTGCAACCACCAGCAGTAATACATGCTTGATAGCATTGTAAAGTTCGGCAAACACTTTGAAAAATGTTAGGCATTTTGCGTACGCTTGCAGCCGTGATAGATATTCGTGCAACGAAGTCCTCCAGCGAGTCAACGGGTGTCTCTTAAATGATGTCCTTCATATGCCCCATTAAAAAAGAAATCCACGCTGGATAAATCTGGTGAACGGGGTGGTCATCAGATTGTCCACCACGCCCAATCCATCGCCCCGCAAAATTCGCATCCAAGTAATTCTTCCGCTGATGCAATCAGATTCGCTGTGTGCCTGGCTCACTACTGCCCTTCTACCTCTCTCGTTGCTCCCCATCCACTATCGCCCTCATTGCCTGCCAGTCGCAGCTGTAGTTCGTATTACTGTTGATGGTCGTAGGTTTGAACATTTCTTGTGAATACTGTATTGCTGCAAAGAAGCACTTTGCTTTGATTTTGTAAATAAACTCGTTTTTCCTCCCGTGTCATTTTTGGCATTCGTGCCTTAACATGTCACTTTAGACCCTACATTCCTATATACAAAATGCATGTTTTAGTACGCTCAACCACCCCTCCAAGTTTGTTCCATGATCATAGAATCATCCTATATATATATATATAATATATATAATATGCAGGTGTTTTTTAAATAACTATGTTAAATAAAAATGTCAAATAATGTAAGTTTGTAGCTTTGGAATTCATTAATATCTTTGCTTTGCTTCAGTTTCCGATGGTTGGCTTAGCCATATCCGATTCACCTTCACCCATACCTGGATACCTTTATGGCGAGATAAATGGTTAGTTTTTTGAAAAAAAAATTTTTTTTTCTATTTCATTCTACTGTGTATAAAACTATATTTTGGTGATTTTCTTAAATTTTATTCTAAGAAATTAAATTAAAAATATTTTAAAATAAGAACCAAGATTTAAAAGGCAAAAAATATTCTGTTTGATTTCTTTCAATCATTAGATTATTCTGCAAAAAAGATGTTATTGTGTATTTGCAGGATTTCATATTATTTGTGTATTAGAAAGTCTCGTTATAAATTCACGATACTGAATTTCTGTAATTTTTCTTTGATTTAATTGTATTATAAAAGGTGTGATGTACATTAATTATGTGGAAAACAGTTTTATGATATTTTTTAATGAAAGATGCTTTCAAATTGTCCTAAGTATATTTGCTTTTAGATTTTTAATATCTCAACTTTATGAGAAGAAATATTTAGTTGATTATGATATGTACACCAGAGTTATTAGGATGTCTTTAGGGAAGACATCATCAGAAATTATATCTATGACAGTTCTTATGCACTTAGCTACTGGTATGTGAGAGAAGAGTTATGGGAAGGGTGATTAATAAAAGTTTTGTAGCTTTGTGAGAACTTTTGTACCTAAGAGTAAGCTAATAAAAACGTAATTCTCATTCATTTTCATGGTTTTTTCCTGCTTTTTTTATCATCTACCTGAATTAGCCTATTCAGCTAAAACTTCAATAACATTTTGCTTTGGCTACATGGGACTTCGTCGAAAGGGACAATTCTCAGAACCCGCACAATTCCAAGAAACTCACGTAGCTATGTTACCATTTTCGCTTATTACAAAGACGTGAACGCCAAGCACTAATTGATTATCGCTCAGCTTGGATCACATGATGCTTCAGAAGCAGAACTATCGTCTGATTTGCTGTCTCTACCCGGTACAGAGGTCCAGCCGAGACATTTTCAATGAGGTTTGAAAAAATCCCACATAGCCGCAACATCGTTTCTGTAGCTAGGCGAGACTTCGCTTCAGGTGGGGCTCTTTTTTCTAGGAATCCTCCCTGATAAATCAGTGCTCCAGAATCTTGTTTCTCAGAAAAGTCCTGTCTAGCCGGGACTGTAGCCAAGTATGATAACCTCTTAACACATCTTCTACACAGCTCTAATGTAGAATTGGTTGCCCCTTCGATTAGCGACAAATTTTGTTCAATTTTGGCGATGAAACCCCATTTCTGGTTACAATGATAGTTTTAACTGTGTTTTAACTTCCTGAATTTTTTTAAGTAAAAATAGATCCATGTGTTTGTGTATATGGACAAAGTTAAGACAGTGCATAATGCCTAGTTTGTGCAATTGTCTGATGTTTTTTTAAGTGAAAACAGATCAATGTGTACATGAACACTGAGTTTGTGTAATTCTGCGACTTCTTATTTTGGTTTTGTGTAGTGGCTATCTTGAAATTATGCCTTCTCCTGGCGTAAAAAAAGAATCACAAAAAAAGGGGGGGCACCCAATTGTAAACTTTTACCCTGCTAGGCCTTATTGTAATTCCTGAAAACCTGATTTCTATATAAAATGCATAGCTGTAGATATTAATTCAGAAGTCAAACAACAAAAATCAGCAAAAATTGTGTCTTAATTAGCTGTAGATATGTTTTTATTTCTGTCATTGGAGAAATGATATATTTCAACCATTTATGTAGTCACGGATTCATTAAATCATTGAATGATGATTCTAAACATGTTGGTCAATACTGAGTCGTTGCTTGTAAAAAGAGGATTAATTAGAAAATTCTGAATTTCTGAAAGAGGCTAGCTTCTTGTTTATCACTATTTTTATTTTTTAATAGGAAAATAGCATATTCTTCCTTCATTTTGATTAAGTTTTAGAACAAGGATTAACCCTTTTTTGTAATTTTCATTGTATCTATGATGCTTGAATGTTTTTGTTGGTTTGGGCATTAGCACTGAAAGCGCAATGAGTAAATTTCCCCAGGCGCAGTTTTCATTAAAGAATCATAAGTCAAAAATTAACTACGAAATCTTTAGTTAATAAAATAGGAATTTTGCTTAACTTAAGCATAACAAAAAAGTAATATCTTCACAGAATTAAAACACTGAATTATCGAAAAGGGGATAAATTTACATACATTTAATAATGTCATACATCTTCAGCATACCTATTAGGCAAAAAAAAAACAGGATACTTTGACAACGTACCTGAAAGAGAAGTACTACTGAATTAGACCTTGGCCAAGATCTATAAGGCTAGGGTGAAATCGAAAATACACTGCACATAGCTAAGGTGAAGTCAAATATACTTGCTTAATTCTTTACACTATATTTCTGGGCACTTTTTATGCCTTTTCGTAGGTTCATTATGCAAAAACCTAAATTTATGCTAACAGTTTGTTTATTTCCTATTATGTATTTGTCACCTTTTAAAATTTAATTTAATGCTATGCTTTTCATTTAATATCTATTATTTAGATCATTTCCTACAAAAAGTCTTTTATGTATTCCTTTCCTTAAATTTTTAAGTTATCAAAATAATGTATTTATTTTTATTTTAAAAAATTCATTATTATAGCTTCTTTTATAAATTAGAACTCAATGGGTCTTAGATTCACAATTTCTAAAAACATTATTTTTCAAGATATTGTTGCATGCATATGGGTTCATAATAGATTGAATGCACAAAGGTCCGATGATAGGTTAATAACATTTATTTTATTAAAAGAAGTACTTCAGAATTCTGGAACATTCCTTAATAATACTCATACAGGTGTTCACAATATCAAAGAATATAATCAATAGTTACACTTCAGCTACTAAGAATGTTAAACACAAGCACTTCTAAAGAGTGAAGGGTACTTTTCTGTTTTGCTGGCGCAAGTCTTGCCAAGCAGAATTTATTGGTGACAACACACGGTATACACATAAAAAATGTTAACAAATGTTAGTTCTAGGAAATTTTTATTTTGAAGGCATGAACATTTTAATGTCATTTAAAATTTTTCAAAAAGACAATAAATAAAGAGAATAAATTTGTAAAAAGACATTAATTTAAGAATTTACTATGCTTTCATGGTACAACATTCTGATTCGCTTTTTTATATCATCGCTCAATACTCCAAACACACACTGAACTAACAGCTTACAGCAAACACTCAGAGACTGATGCTCTCTCCAGTTTTCTGTAGTTTCACCTGGCTACCGAGACTTTTCTTTTACTTTCTGCGTTACTTTTCTGTTAGCCGGGCACAAGCGAAAAATCGACAAATAATGTAGAGCGAAGCAAATGAAAAAACAGTCAGCGGAATAAAAGTCGAAAATGTTCAACTATAAACAAGTATTTATTAATAGTAAACAAAACAAGTTTAACTACAAACAAATATTAATGAATTGTAAACAAAACAGTTTTTACCCAAAGAGAATGCTTATAATTGGTTTTTCCAGAATGCAGTGTGATGTGCTTGAGAATTTGCTCAAATAGATCATTTACTCCTTGTCTCCACATAAATTCAGCAAGGTACGACTCCAAATGATGACGAGAAGTTCCCTGATGTTTTTTATTTCTCCATTTGGCACTGCTCCAAAATTGTTCAATTTTCTGAGTGTTTACACCAGTGTCGGGATGAACAAAATTGTACCCGTGATTGACTTTGAAATGCTATAGACCAGCTTCTTCCATTTTAGTTGTGCAGTAGCCTTTCCAGGAATCGTAATAGACAATTGACCCTTCTTCGATGTGATTTGTTATTGCATGTAACAGCACTGGTAAAGAACAGTTTGGAACTTTAATCAGAAAGCATATGTCTGTTTCGTGGCAAACGTCACCAAATATCCACTGTTGTGGAATAATTTGACTGGCATTGTTCTTTCGTTTTGTAAATAAGCTCTTGTCTATCTCAACTATTTTTTCAGGACCACCGATTTTTTTATTTTTGCTCACGTTCCACTAATGTTTCTATACAAACTTCTCTTAAGTAGTTCCAATCTACAACTGTATTATGATTCATATCCATTTGTTTTTCACACCATTTGACTGATGTCATCTCTTTGCTCCAGCCGTAAATAAATCTCAAAGATATTAGAAAACTGAATCTGAACGTTTCGAACCATGTACCATTGCGAATGCCATTCGAACCATGTACCATTCATGTGGCGTGTTGAAAGATTGCACCTTGAACATACTTCATCACAAAAAGACAGTTTCATTTCATGATTCTGATCGCATGTTGCATTTTTTGCCAATATACCTTTCTCTTGAAAAAAAGAGACTGCATCTTTTTCAGTTCTGAGTAAATCCCGAATTTTCATCATATTTTAAAACAAAAGTTAAGATGGAAGAAAAAAAAAGGAAAACATGCTTTGTTTTGAATGAATTCAGAGAATTAAAGCATATGGCCCCAAATGAACATTCCCCTTATGGTTGTAAGAAATTTGGCGGAATTCTACATTATTTAGCGATTTTTCTCTTGCGCTCAGCTAACGGAAAAGTACCCTTTCTGCTTCTTGAAATTTCTGGAAGGCATACCTGGACACAGTTACAGTTGCAAGGCTACCACAAATTCTGGTTGTGAAAATAGATAGTAGTTTTATATCCTGCATTATGGGTCACTGCAAAAATAATTGCTGATTGATTTCCTGTAATTTCCTGTTTAGTAGAATGTGAATTTAGTGCAGTTATCAGCCTCATGACAAAAAACAAAAACAGACTATTAATGCTCATAAAAATTTACGAATGTTACTAGCAAACATAGAGCTGAACATAAATAATTTCGGTACTTGCATATGATTGCAACCACCTTGGCAGATATTATGAAATAAAACAATTATTTTTATCGTAAAAATTATATATTACATAGATACATATTCTACATTTCAACAATATATTTGTTCCATAAGATAATCAGGAAACCTAGTTATAAACGGGGTTTTGTTGTAATGGAAATTTCATAGCGATTGCTCTAAAAAAGAATTCGAAGCATTGTTCCTTTTACGATTTTGAAGCAAAATAATATATTCTTGCAGAAATTTCACCTCCCTTTTCTATATTTTAGGAAAATCCTGCAAGCAGAAATTTTAAAGTCAAGTTTGAGAGAAAAACTAATTATAATTTTTCTATAAAAGCTTTTGGAACTAGGAATATGATAAAAAAAGTGTAAAGAAAATGACAGCATTGGAAACTGAATACATATCAAGCACATGGTTGCTTGAATAATTTTCATGTGCATGGTTGCCTGAATAATTGTTATATGCATGGAATTTGGCATATTCTGAAGCTCTGGCAATTTCTACTAAGGTGGTTGTGATAATAGGTAATTACCTTATTTTCATAGCATCTCAGTTCGCCCATATCATAATGAAAAATACATGTTTTTGTATTTTAAAACAAAAGTTATAATTTTATGAAGACTGCTTTAAATATCAAAATGTTATATTTTATTTTTACTTCACTATTCACCATTGTAATTTTTCTGTTATGCACTTATGTATAGTTATTTTACTTGGGGGGGGGTTCTTGTTCAGTTTTTTTTTTTTATAAGAAAGTGATCATAAGCATTGTAAGTTTGGGAACCACTGCAATAGATCATACTCAATATATATTGATGCAGGACATCAGCAAATATTGAGCGGTAAAGACTTACACTCACTGATATAACTAAACAAGACTGAATAAGAATTTTCAGTACTCTTTTGTTATAGCAGCCTCCAACCATATTTGCCAATTACGCCAAGATCTCGGTTATAATTTTCCAAGCTCTTGAAGTGTGAATGTAAAAATAAACAATATAATATATAATAATTAAAATAATACTCGCATGTCTACTTCCTAGGGATGTTTTTATGAATCTTTATCCTTATTATTATTATTTTATCGCTGTAATTGTTCCAGTCAACTGCATCACTTGCACATATATAGAGCTGTTTGTTACATCATTTCGTGAACATCTACTCATCAGCCCAAGAATACATAAATCAAATAGTAGTGATGAACAATATTCTGGAACCATTGGACCATTTTTCAACATGGAGGCCCTTCTTCTTTTAGCAATTTTAAACGTTAAATCTCCAAATGGTTTCATCATTAATGTAGAGTTTTATGCTGTGGCCATTTTTGCATACTCCTTTGTCAGATAAAACACCTTACAAGGTATTTCTTCCGCCTTCCTATCATGCCTTCGTGGTGTGGTGGTCTGCACGCTGGGCCCGTATTCCAGAGGTCCGGGCTCGATTCCTACAGAAGGCGTTGCTCATTTTTCACATCTCTTGCTTCCAAAAAGTCCTAATAGCTCAACAAACCCATTTTTATTACTAGATATTATATTTTTATTCTGTGAATGGGATATAAATTTCCATTTTTATAAAATACTGACATCAGCATGCAAAAGCATAAAAGGATTTATTAATTAGTATGTTTTTGGGAGAGCATGACCATTTTATGTTTCTGTAAATTTTTTTTATTTTTTTAGCAATTACTTATGTGGAAAATGGAATCCATTGTAAACCTTTGGCTGCATTTTTGGTATCGAGGCTTCAAAGTACAACACCCTTCATAGCCACTAAAGTGAGTATTAATAAATCTAATATACAATGTAATTTGCTTTCAAATTCTGTATCCCTCAGCTCTGAATACTGACTTCATTTTATTTGTATTTAGAAAATTCAAGTTTTTCAATTAAATTTCATAATTCTAATTGACAATTTAATTTTCTGCCTTTGCTAAACTATAATTAACAGTTGAAAAATGAATAAAATTGCATTTTGGATATATTAATTTTATCACTGTGATAATTAAACTATGGAGGCACTTTGATTTCTGGCTGCTAAATGGGTCTGTTGCACGAATCTTCTTATTTCTCTTGTCATATAATATACTATACATACAAGTCAGTTTTTTTTTTTTTTTTTTTTTTTTTTTTTTTTTCAGAATCATTCACTGATACTCTTTTTTGGTACAAAGACCTTTGCCATCATAAAATAATCTTTTTTCCATTATGTGACACAAATTTTCTATATGTAAACATTAAATAATAGGGCAGACTTAAAAATAACTCTATTATAAAAGGTAAATAGTCAGAAATTGATTCAATAATTTTCGTCTATTCATATTGAGATGTTCAACCAGCAGCTAGACTATTAAATCATTCTGGTAATTCAATCATGGTTCGAATCCCATTTATCCAAACAGTTTGACTGCTTGGAAGGTTTCATGTTTTTCTCTATGTAACATGAATACGAATCAGTTTTTCCCTACAAAGACTTCCAAGAAAATATCCATCTCCTTGGACAGATAGCCCTCCTTTGCTTTGCTATAACCAAAATAGTCCAATATCATCTTACTAAGATATTGATTCAAAATGATTACGTATAATTCTTGTATTAATTAAATATTATAATGATGTCATGCCATAAATTAGTTAATAATCAAATAAAAAGTAGAAATTTTCATTCTGCGTTAAAATAGTTATAATTTTCATAAAAATACTGTATGAAAATAAAATTATGGTAAAAGTATAGTTTAGAGTACCCCTTGGCGAAACTTGGCGATTTTTGGTGGTACATGGATACCAATTTTGTGCAATTCTTTGACTCATTATTTTGGCTTGCGAAGCGGCGATTTTTGCGCCAAAAATCGCCGCTACACAAAGCCAAATAACAAGACAAACAATTGCACAAACTCTGTATCCATGTACACATCGACCTACTTTCACTAAAAAAAAAAATCCCAGAATTGCAGAAAAATGGCATTGCACACTCCTTTGACTTTATCCGTGTACACATCGACCTATTTTCATTTAAAAAAAATCCAAGAATTGCACAAAAATGCATTTTTTAACTGTATGCATGTAATCGATCTATTTCACAAAAAATTCCCAGAATTTGGCAAACTTGCATTGCGCCTCCCTTTACTTCGTCCATGTACACATCGATATATTTTCACTTAAACGTCAAGGAGCACCAAATTCTACAATATAGCAAACAAAAAATACATAATCTCAAAAATACATTTTAAACCAAACATGAAAACATAAAGGAAAAACATGTTATACTTTCGCACTCCAAAAAAAATATTCACTTACCATGATTTTCGAGTTGCTATGTACACCCACCCCACGCAAAATCAAATATCAATCATCCTCAAGACTTTGGCAACCAGGTACTCTTTTGATCAAACGCTTCCCATAGTGACCATTGAACCTTTCTTCCTACAAAACATTCAATCTATCTAAACATTTTTTGTTCGACTAGATGCAATCCTTCCTGCATACAGGACACTTATAATGGCTCTAAGTAAACCTTCATTTACCCCCATTCAATTCAGCTCTTTTCCCCTTTCGCTCCAAATCGTACAGAAACTTCAATTAATTTTCACATTCGGCCATCTACCGTCTAAGAATCAACCAACAGCACCACAACGCTTAAAAACATCCCATGATTCAAAACTTTCCCAGACATGCACCCGTTAATTCACAATAGACTTTCCATAACATTCACTACTCGGAATAAACAAACAATCGATAATCAACAACAACTTCGGCATAATACAAGGGGTACCTTAAAGTCCACTCTACCCCAACATTGTAATAAGTACTGAATACCTGATGCCAACATTGATAAGAATTTGCATGATGTTGTGACAAAAATATGATACATGGATCTTGCAGTACACTGAATCCAAATTCATCATGCATGACAGACAAAAAATGCTTTAAGCGATACCCTTCAGCATTAGTATCCAACACAGTTACAGAAAATGATGGATATCCTTTACAGAAAAGAAAATCAACAGAAGATGGCAGTAAGTTTACAACCATACAAATGAAGCAGTGACACAGAAGTAGATAACCGCTGGGTTGTTCCATGTTTGCCTTTGCTACCAAAAGCATACTAAGCACACTTAAACGTGGAATACTGTAACTCTGTTAAATCAATAAAACACATTTGTAAGTACACGAATAAAGATGGAAACATGGCAGCTTTTGGTGTGCAACCAAAAAGAAGTGGGAGGAATGTGGTCATATATATCAACAAAATTGCCCAGTATCAGAATGGAAGATACATAAGCAGCAGTGAAGCTGTATGGCAAATTCTTTTATTTCCTATACATGAACGAAGTCCAACTGTTATTCACATAACAGTACTTCTAGAAAATGGACAATGCATGTATTTCGTAACTGCAAATTTGCAACAAATAGGTCTGATCCCCCCCCATCAAATTTTCACTTTGTCAATGAGGCATTTCAAAATATGCGGTATTCCAGTGCTGTGCATGAAATGCAACTAGAAAATCATTTGAATGACACAAGCAAGAAGAGAGTCAATGGACAATCTGGCATATTCAAAGAAACTATGATAAACAGACTATACACCATGTATGCCATTCAATATGAATGCTTCTTTCTTCACATGTTGACGGTAAATGTTTCGGCCCAATGTCTTTCCAGCAGCTGAGATTTGTCAACAGCATTACACATACCACTTTCTGCAGTGCATGTCAAGCTTTGAATTTACTGGAGAATGACAAATAGTGGGATATATGCATTTATGATGCATGCAATATGTCATAGCCAAATCAAATTTGTGCACTGTTTGCAATCATATTCACTGCCTGCTCTCCTCATCTCCAACAGAGTTATGAGAGAAATATAAATTGCACATGGCTGCAGATATTTTCCTTTGAATGCGCAAGGAAAATTCAAATATGAACATGATTTCACAGCAAACTTCAATGAGTGTAATGATGAAGATTGAGCTTAGAAGTCATGAACAAAGCACTCAATCAGTTGGGAATGCCATCACTGAAATGATCCGCTGCTGCTTTGTTCAATGTACAATTGTGTCATGACCAAAATTACAACATGGGTGATCTTTTGAATTCCGCATCAATATTCTAAGCTAACGCTAGTCAAAAACACTTTACAATCAATATGCAAACTGTCAACAATGGAGATGGAGAAATCTTTTTCATAGATATCCAGTATATTATCCATTTAAAACACACGTACACACGATTCTTGCAGCAATTTGATTTCAAAATGGCATAGCCTTAGCTCTTACATTGTTTGAAATAGCTGCAACATCATCACCACATGGAAGAACTGCTCATTCCACTTTGAAATTGTAGTGAACATGCAGCCAATTAAAACTCACATGTGCAGGATTTTCAAAGCATTCGGTATGGAAAAGTATTACAAAAATGCAAACATTTATTGTTTAAAATAAATACACAACAGCATACAAAAAATCTCTCAAAAATTGATTATTGCAAGGTTTACGTGGAAACATCCAACCATTGGAATGCTTAACATGCTTGCGGAGATTTCGGAAACATCCTGAATTCCTTGATTAAGACTAGTGGACAAATAAATGCTTACTAATACTTGTGGTACATGAAAGACACTGAAATTAATACAAGTCGTTCCAGTGCAAAACAATCGAACGTGAGATATCTTACTCAGGTGCTTTCTAAATTGGGAACAGAAAGGTGCCAGTTGATCTGACTTCAGGACTAATTTCATTACCTCTATCAAGACATTGTTTTGAAAAAGTATTTCCAATATAACTCAATTTAAATCATGATGTCCCGAAAATGACTCTTTTTGTAGAAAGAACAGATGTCTAGAGCTTCAACATATTATTTAGTCTACACAAGGAAGCAGTTGCATATATGTCTGTTCACACTGTAGTGGGAGCAGATGAAGCAGTTAATTATCCAACAGGACTGAATTAATTCAGAAAATCTGCCAGCCCACACCACGCTACTGCAAATAAATCATGTGCCATTATACATGCAAATATCACAGCCAAGCTTGCGATGCATGCGCTGCGTAACAAAAAAAAAAAAAAAAAAAAAAAAAAAAAATTAATGAGCAATGTCGTAGAAGCAACAATCTTGACAGGACCTTTCAGAGGTGAAGATGTCCTCATTCTTCTCATTACTATGATCCCAACAGATATATCATTTCAAATTATGAGACTACAATTCTTAATTTGATTGGCATTTGCAATCAGCGTAAAAAAAGCCAATCTTTAACAACTATGCAGTTTAGATATAGATACAGATTGCTTCTCATGTGGACAATTATATCTTATATGTTTTAGAGTCAGTAAAAGAGACAATCTCTATATCTGCACAGACAATGGAACAACAAAAAAATATTTTATACCCATAAGAATTGTAACATTAAAAATATTAGAAATGTGTGTTTTCTCTTTTCTTTCTTTTCCATTTAACCAAACTGAGCTACATCAACACATAGCCAGGTACAGCTAGTAATATACAGTAATTTTTGACAACAATTTAGTATGATAAAAAAATATAAATAGAACAGACGTAGGATATAAGAATTTATAAAGGAAGTTATATACATTTTTAATTTAATAAACATGCAGTGGTTATGATAATTTTAGGGTAGAGTAAACTTTAAGGTACCTCTTGTATTATGGCGAAGTTGTTTGATTTATCGCCATGTTGTTGTTTCATTTATGGTAGCCTGAGTAGTTGAATGCTATGGAAACCCTATTGTGACGTAATCTGGTGCATGATTCTGGAAAATTTTGAATCATGGGATGTTTTGTAAGCATTATTGTGGTGTGTATTGGTTTCCTTCTTTTTTTTTTTTAAAAAAAACTGTGAAATTTATTAGATTTTGTTTAAAGGGCTTTTTTAACAAATCTTGTTAAAACATAAAATTTATAGTGGTCATGTAAATCCATAATGATTAAGGTTATTAACTACCTAATTTGTTTTATAACTAACTGCTTACCGTTAAAAGTTCTCTACATATAAAAAGTTATCGTGTTTCATTAATTCTCACTGTGATCAAGATAAAATACAAAATGTGAAAATTCAAGTAAACTTATTCTTTGTATCTACTAAGACTTGAAATAATACAAAACGTCTGATCACCTCTGCTCCTTTAATGGCTTATGGAAACCTTAAACTGGGTTACAACTCCTGGAACTCTACATGAAGCTATGACACTAACTGCATCAAACAGAGCCTGACTAACTTTCAACACTTGCCAACCGTGCCTACATCAGGCCTTTCAGGTTTGTTCTAATCAGCAGGTCTCTCTCTAGACAAGCAGCAGTGGTGACACCATCCAGGGTTTTGTTATGAATCATGCTGTTTATGATCTTACTTCTATTTTAAACCTATGCTGTTTGACAATAAATGTACCTGCTATTTACTAAGCCCTAGACTGACCAGTATGTGACAAAATGGACAAAAAAAATCACATAAGCTGTTAGTAAAACATAAAAGTCACTTATTTCTTCATATGACCAACTATTAAGTGTAAAATATTTAATGCTACTTGACAAATTGCATTAAGTTTTCTCAAACTTATTAATTATTAATTAATTTAATTTATAATAATACATACTATTGGCATTTTTTTTTTAGGATATATTATAACTGATTCAGGCATAGATAATATTTTTAATTGAATTTATTCAGTTCCTATTTGCTCATAGGTTCTTAATTTTTTCATTAATGGTCCTTAAAAGTCTGTGTGCAGAAATGTGTACGAACCTTGTATCAATAGCTGTTTTGAACAAATGCACTATATTGTTCTTTTCGTGAAGAAGCTCTTGCAGTTGGGAAACAATTGCCTGCAGCGTGCATTCAATTCAATATTGCCTTCACCAATGAAATGCTTTTGTAGGAATTTATGCTGACCATCTGGGAACAGAAGCAGGGTGCTGACTTTGTAATAAATTTGTCCTTTCACTTTGAAGGTTGGTTTGAATTTAGTCATTATGATTTCTGCACCGAACAATGTCATTTGGAAGCATGAGTAGTATCTTCTGATGTCAGATAGGAAATGCTTTGATTCAGCGGTATATTCAGAAAGCAAAGTTTTTACCGGCTCATGCGGTTCTCTAAGTTGAGGCAATTTTTTCTGGTGGCGCAACCAATTCCTTTTGTTTCTCCATTAAGTTTTAGAGCCTTGCAACACACTTCAGTCATAGTGCCAATGCGCATATGCCAGCTCAAACTATAATTATCAGGTGGGTTGTAACAGATTGTGAGGTGATTGTAATCACATGATTCCTGAGCATGGAGTTGTGTTTGATGCTGATCTGCTGTTTCTCATTGATATCTTTCAGCCACTCTCAGTCGCCACGTTCATTCCCTCAAAGAGGTCATTGTCATGATATAATTTGAATTGAAATGAAAATCAATTGACACAGCTGAATTGTACTGTCAACTGAATTGGGGGGGAAAGAAAAGAGAGAAAGGTTTAAAAAAAAAAAAAAAGAGAGAGAGAAAATAATAATTTAAAAAAAAAAACCGAAAACTTTCAGATTTTATCTTACTCCCAAAAGGGCATTTTTCATTTACTTATAGATACATGTTTCAAGAACATTTGGGCAAATATTTCTTTGTACTAAAATATTTAAAAACAGCATATCTTTAGAATTTCTGATAGACAGTCTCACACATCGAAGATAAGAATGTTTTTTCCCGTACAGTGTTGTCATTACTGGCTTTGAAATCATTGAGTTTGTTAATAAAAAATTCATTAAATTTTTACAGAATATGAAATACACAATAAAACAAATTCGAAATTCAAAATTCAGGCTTCCAGGTGTCCATATTTGGGTGAAGGACTATGTTATTCAAAATTGCATGGATTTATGTACTGTTGTTTTTTCAAAATGCAAAAAACATGCATACATTCATGCAAATTCTTCATTATTTAATTTGTTTAAATATACAGGGTGATAATATTTGGTGGCAACAATTTGAAAAGTGATTCAGACTTAAAAATGACACAGATCAATTCCAATGCAGTGTCACACAAAATGTTCAAATAAAAGTTAAAATAAATTGAAATCTATGAAAATTCTATTTAACAATGCAATTGGAAGCATTGAATTGAAATCATAAAAATGGAAATCATAAATCAGGAACACTGAAATGGAAATGTAAAATGTTTAGTACAGAGTATGTTGCCTTCATCCAATAGGTGACATTAAAAAAAAAAAAAAAAAAAAAAATTGTTTTTATTTGTTACAGATATCACATCTGTATAATAGGTATATAAAAGCGCATACTAATGTCACATCTGTATAATAGGTATATAAAAGTGCATACAGATGTCGCATCTGTATAATAGGTATATAAAAATGCACAAGTTCGAGTGCAGTGTTATTGTAAAATTTCAAGCAATTGGTAAAGAACTTTTGGAGATTTAAAATTTTGAACAAACAAACTTTACATTTTTATTATTAACATACTGAATTAGTTGGATTGATAACTAGATTTATCTTTTTCTCATGTTCCCCCAAAATAAGAACAAATTGATTATTTATAGCATGCAGTATCATTAGTTATATACAGGGTGGTTCAAAACTATATGTCAAAAATATAAAGGCAGTTAGAGGGGACCTAAATACCCAGATTTGGTATAGGAATGTGTGTGCAGTAATGCCACATTGAACCAGTGGATAACGCTGAGTGTAGCATATAAAAGCTAGTGAGGCTAGCGGATGAGTGCGGCTAGCTGCATTCTTCATTTCCCACATGGATCTTGAGCAGCATGCATCGTTATACCAATGTGGAGCTTGCCAACATACATTTCAGGTATGGGGCTGCACAAAGGCATGGATTAGCTACACAAAGGATGTACAGGGAGTGATTCTTGGAGAGGAATCAGCCGAATAGTAGAAGATTAAAGTGTCTTCATCGAGAGTTAAGCACGGGTGGATTGTTTTATGCATTCAGGCATGATACTGTCAATGGAAGATATCACAGAATTCCTGCAGTGGAAGAAAAAATACTAAACAAAGTAGGGGATAATCCTTTCTCAAGCTCGAGAGCTGTAGGACATGGACTGGGTGTGAACCATGCAACTGTTTTGAGGACTTAGGCATGAAGACGGAATACATCTGTATCATTTACAGAGAGTGCAAGCAATGACTCCTGATGATTATCTTCCATGTCTCAACTTTGCTCGTTGGTACCTACAGCAGTTGACAGGCAATCAAACTCTCCCTGCTGCAGATGTTTTATTCACTGATGAGGCTATTTTTATGCGGTCGGGTACGTTTAACATTCGTAATTCTCACCCGTGTTCTCATAATAACCCACTTGGCACAATAACACACACTTACCAAGAAAGGTTTTCCATTAATGTTTGGGCAGGCATTGTGCACAATAACTTAATAGGACTGTGCGTTCTACCCAGTCTTTTAACTGGCCATATGTACAGCATCTTCCTACAGGAGGTCTTACCTGAACTTTTGGTCGATGTTCCTCCAGCTGTTCACAAACAAATGTGGTTCCAGCACGATGGAGCCTCAGCTTACTTCAGCTGGAACATCAGGAATCACCTGGATGTGTCTACGGCCAGCACTACATAGGATGGGGCAGATCAGTTCCCTGACCACAGCATTCTCCTGATTTAGTCTGCTTGGATTTCTTCTTTTGGGGTCATATTTTAAACCTTGTGTACAAGAGTCCAGTCACATCTGCAGGAACTCTTGTTGCTCACTTGTCTGTTGCTGCAGGACATGCGCTCTACATGCCTGATGTCTTTTATAATGTACGCTGATCCATGTGTCGCTGCTGTGAATCTTGTATTGCTGTTGGTGGTTGCTTTTTCGAGCACCTATTGTAAACTGTTAGTATTTTTTTCAGTATTTTTTTCTTTTGTCTTTACGTGTCTTTTTAGTGTCCTGTGATTCATACTGCTGTACGTGCTAGTGCTTTAATGCGGCATTACACACATTCCTATAATCACATATTTAAGGCGGCATTATCGCCATTACATTTTTGAGACATAATTTTGAACCACACTGTATATATAGAAGTAATTATGAATATGAATATAATTATGTAAATATATATATATATATAACGTCATTAAAATGCATTATTTTTCATAGGTGTTAAAATTACTGTTATATCTAGTGCAAAATGGGCATGAGGAATTTATTAATGCTATAAAATTTCATGAAGTTCCTTTGAAAGAAGCCATGGGTAAACATTTTTTCAATATGCTTTAGAATGCTGAGATGATAATTTTCTTTTAGTTCATATAATTGTTTAAACAGTTATGATTATATATAATGATTTAAATTGAATATATAATTGATTCTTTTCATTAATGATAAATATTTAAAAAATGATATTTTTGAAATGTTTAGTGCCTAAAAGTTTTACTATGGTTAATTATTTTTGAACATGTTTTTGTTTCATGCCTAGAGATTCATTTATCTTTTACGTGGGAGATTCAACATTTGGAAAAAAGAATTCACCACTTCCTTTATCTCTTAATACAATGGCTGATAAAGTTTATTGTTAGTAGTTTCCTGAGTAAAATATGCATACATGTAACATTATCACAAGCACCAAAATGACTTAGATAGAAATAAATTAAAATTATATCTTATAAATTAAACATGGAGTATTTATAATATGAATACAGCTAGCATTACTTTTTCAAAGCTTAATTATAGTTAAAAGGTAAAATTTAAAAGTGCATCATATTTTTTTTGTGTGTTTGAAGAAGAGCAAAAATATACTGTTATTTATTTAAATGGCAGCTTCCCGAGCAATAGTTTTTTTATATGAATAAAATCAGTAAACTAATAATAAAACTACAAAAATGCTTTGTTGGAGAGACCACCACTAAAAAACACTTCTACGTACCATTTTCTAAGGCAACTGCTCAAAAAGTGATTGTATTTTAAGAATGTATAAACATCACGTAAGGCAGTCACATCTGCCTATTCGCCATTAAACTCTACTAAACATCATGTAAGCTAGCTACTTCTGCAAAAGGTTAAAATCAACTGGGACAGTAAGTGGTCATCTTAGGGAGGTTTTACTGTATTTAAATAATTTGTAAGTTGTCTTTTATAGCGACTAATTCTGGTTTTTTAGCTAAGCTGTCTAAAAGAAAGGAGAAAGATATACAAGCAATGAAAATTGTAGATTTACAGATTTAAAATGTAAAAGTATAAAATAATTCATTTAATACAGGGTATCTGGGAAAGAAGTGGTATTAAAAATTGCACAGTTTATTGTGTTGTGGCTTATGTAGAAAGAACTCAAAATGTTTTGTTCACAGAAAGACTGGCACAGAGAGAGGACACTGTCACTTTTTTTTTTTTTTTTTACTTAAACCCTCTAGATTTCTTTCTGTAGAAGTTTGTGAAGAAAAGACTATACAGTCAAAAGTCGTTAATTCGGACACCCATAATTCGGAATGATCTATAATCCGGACCTCAAAACTGAAAACTTTCTGCGCATGCGCCGCGTTGACACATGCGCATAGGCGTTTACGCGTGCACGTAAGACCTTTTACGACTGCGCATATGAGTGTGCGCAAGTGCAGAATATGTTTTCGCGTGCGCGTTTTATGTATAATGGACATATAAGCTAAATAATTATCTATTTCAGTTAATGTTGATGATTGCGTTGTTCCTTAATTTTCGAATTGGATGCGGCTTATTATTTTTTGCAGACTGTAAGAGCAATTTTATAAAAGTAAGTTTAAACTTTCGATTATATCAAATAGAATTTCCGATATATTTGTTAATATGTAAAGGATCTAAAGCGAAAGTATGTTTTGAAATCTGAAATCTGTTTATCAATTTCACGCTGCTCGGCGGGGGGGGGGGAAGCCGCCGCATGCATGTAATGAATTGGAAGTTGATCTGTCAGCACTATCCTTATCTTCAGGGCAGATGTTTTTATTTTATTTGGCTTATAATTCCTTACCAAATTAGTATTTCATCTCGATGTGCTCCGTCTTTGATATGATTTAAAATAAGTTCCTTGTCATTATAATTCGCTTCCGATAGCGAAGAAAGTGACAGAGGTTAGTGAAAACAAAAAAATTTCGTTTGACAAATTAGTTGGTGTTCTCGACACAGCAATTATAGGACTTAAACAGTGGAACTTTGTAACTGAACAAGAAATTATGCTTGTTTAATAGAATTAAAGAGAAAGTATTATCACATGAAACGAAGCAACACTTAAACAACTTACATTGAAAGAAATGTTTAATAAAGTAAACAAATAAATGTTAAGCTTTTTCTTTTTGCAAATTTTGATACCCTTTAGATCATAATTGTTCTTTATTTCATAAATTACGGTTTCATACTTTTAATTTTAGAATTTCTGCATGCCATCTTACGAGATTTAAACTGATGATCTATAATCCGGAAAAATCGATAATCCGGAATCGCCGAAGTCCCGACGAGTCCGGATTAACGACTTTTGACTGTATCAAACAAATTTGTTTGCTAGATGCATGGAAACAACAATCCTGCTTTTGAACATGTGGATTGAGATATAGAGTATCATTAGACATAATTTGAGTGACAAATGGCACCAACATAGAGGTATGCTAATATTTTTGAGTTAATTCTTTTTATTTATATAAACCACGATGCAATAAATACATTGATTTCATATACATGTGCCTTTCTTTATCATTGCATCATTCTTGGGCACAATGTGGAAGAGGGAATCGTTTATCCTTTCATTTACTTTATTCTAAATGTCATATGATTTAATAATACAGTCAAAAGTCGTTAATTCGGACACCCATAATCCAGAATGATCTATAATCCGGACCTCAAAGCTACAAACTTTCTGCGCATGCGTCGCGTAAGACCTTTACGGCTGCGAATATGCGTGTGCGCATGCCCAAAATACGTTTACGCATGCGCATTTAATGTATAACGGACGGCATAAGCTAAGCTAAAATTATCTAATTTAGTTAGTGTTGCAGATTGCGTTGTTCCTTAATCTTCGAATTAGATATGGCTTATTATTTTTTGCAGACTGTTAGAGCAATTTTATAAAAGTAAGCTTGAACTTTCGATTATGTCAAATAGAATTTCTGATATATATTTATTAATATGTAAAGGATCTACAAAGCGAAAGTATGTTTCAAAGTTCATTAAACAAAAAGTGGAATTGCTTCAAAAAATGGATAAAGGCATATCCTTTGTTTACTTTAACGCCACGGCATGCAATGAATTTTAAGTTGATCTGTCAGCACTATCCTTATCTTCAGGGCAGATATTTTTATTTTATTTGGCCTATAATTCCTTACTAAATGTAGTATTTCATCTCGATGTACTCCATCTTTGATATGATTTAAATCAAATTCCTCGTCATTATAATTCGCTTCCGATAGCGAAGAAAGTGACAGAGGTTAGTGAAAACAAAAAAATTTCGTTTGACAAATTAGTTGGTGTTCTCGACACAGCAATTATAGGACTTAAACAGTGGAACTTTGTAACTGAACAAGAAATTATGCTTGTTTAATAGAATTAAAGAGAAAGTATTATCACATGAAACGAAGCAACACTTAAACAACTTACATTGAAAGAAATGTTTAATAAAGTAAACAAATAAATATTAAGCTTTTTTTTTTTTTTTTTTTTTTTTTTTGTTGTTGTTGTTTAAATTTTGATACCCTTTAGATCATAATTGTTCTTTTATTTCAAATTAGGTTTCATTCATATTTTTTTAATTTTAGAATTTCTGCATGCCATCTTACCAGATTTAAACTGATGATCTATAATCCGGAAAAATCGATAATCCAGAATCACCGAAGTCCCGACGAGTCCAGATTAACGACTTTTGACTGTATAAATATCATATCTTAAAGCATGTTATTATTTGAAAGTGTAATTCAGCCATTATTGGTATAATTCATAAAAGCCAAATTGCTTATGTTTCTTATGCATTATTAAAATAATGGCAGTCAGAGTTGATTCGTTCTGTGAAAGCACAGTGAAGTTAATTCTGTTTTAGCAGTCTGACTATTGTAATTTTCACTGTAATACTATAAATTTCTCTCTCTCTTTTTTTCCTGTTGCAGGATTTCATGGACCTCCGGATGATCTTCATGGCAGAACATTTTATGAAAATATTAGAAAAATGGCAAAGGTTAAAAATTCTCGTGCCTATTGCTTGACATTGGAGAGTGTTTTGTCAGTTAGCATGGCAGTTAGAGGGTTTTAATTTATTGTATTTTTCATTTCTTTCAAAGTAAATATAATTGAATTTTTTGAATAATATTGCCACGTCCAGAAAATGCAGTAGAAGACCAAAAATGTGCACATTTTAGGACTTGGAAGCTGTATTCATTTTTGAGCAGATTTCAGTGGTAAATTGCAGACCATTAGATTTTTGATTAAAAAAAGGGGGGCAAAATTAATTAAATTTGAAAAAGGATAAAAAAGGAATCTTCCCATTTTTATTGAGAAAGATATATATTAAAATGTATATTTATTATTAAAAGTATTTTTATGAAGTAATGTGTATTAAACATATTACAATTTTTTATGAAGAAAATAGGTTAAATAGGATTAATTTTTTATTTTTATATGGAATGAATAGGTAGTAAGATGCTGTTTTTTGTGTTTTTAAAATAAGTCTTTTACGGTAGCTTGTTTTGAAATTTGGGAATGAATTTCTAACCCAAAATTATGCAGAGTCATTCCTTTCTGATGCTTGTATAGCTGTTTTAAATTCATTTTTTCCTTTGCTGTTACTTGTAAAAAAAATTAGTTTAGTTAGATACATTATTCTGATGTGGGAAAAAATCTGCTATATTTAAATCTAGTCTTAATGAAAATTAAAATCCAACTACTGAAATCTTCCTTGATTAAAATGATACAGATTGATATTCAATTAGGGATAAAAACTGAGTGACTTTTAGAAAGGTATATGTTAGCATGAAAGACAAATTAGAAAGTGACAGTATTCTTTGGTGAATGTCGACACATAACCAAATAAATGGTGAAAGGCCGAATATTTGGTTATAATGGTCATGATATTTGGTTATTCAGATCATCGCTGGTACATGCTAACAAACACAAACTGTGTTGGGGGTCAGAATGACAAGCTGAGAGAGAAACAACAGAAATACCAAATCCTTTGTTCTGTTGAGATTAGTGGCATGTGTTTATTATCCTTGAATGCTGTGCTTTTTTTTTTTTTTTTTTTTTTTTTTTTTTTTCAGTCTTATGCAAGGTTTTCTGGTGCATGAAATGTTTGCTTAATTTTTACTTTACTATCCAATACCGTATTTTATGTCAAATGGGAAGTGACTAGTGAATACTAGTGAACTGTGATTTTTTAATAAGTTACATGCATTAATTGTGAATAAATGAGAAGCTGGTTGTTTTTATTTTTCTCAAGAAATATTACTCTAAAATACTTTCTGAAGGATTTCTACCAAACCCAAGTGTAGTACAACTTTAGATTACAAAAAAGTATTTTGACATTTTAAAAAGTAATGATGAAGAAAAGTTAATTGTACCATTAAAGTTAGGAGAAGCAAATATATTGAATTGTTCAGTATACATGTTCAGTACATCTGAAAGTCACATTAGAATAAACCATGGCGGAAGAACATGTATGCTTAAAGAATTTTAAGTTAAGTACACAAATATTACATACGGAGCTCCATACATTATGAATGTTGCATTTAAATTTATATAAGCAATGTCAAATAAAACATAATGCACATTAAAAAGGTATGAAATCAATGGTTAGTTCTCACTTCCGAGTTAAACTCAAGATGTCACATTGATCTGGTGACCTGTAGTCATAATGGGATGGAAAATATAAGTTCATAAAGATATATCAAAACCATTTAACAAAGTTTGTCCAGTTATGAGTTTCAAAAGCTAAGACAGCTGAAGAAGTAGCACATCACCTATTTTGTACTTTTAGCATTTGGTGCCCCAGCGATATTGCATTCAGATAACAATAGGGAATTCACTATTGAGTCATATGTGGAATCTCAGACTCAGTTGAAAGGGCCAATCAAGATATGCAGAATATGTTTACTGCATGGATGAATGATTATGTACAAATAAATGATCAGATAGTTTTTCCTTTGTTCAGTTTGCCAAAAATACAACATATTATGAAGAAATATTCCTTCATAATCCTTGTAAAGCCTCGTTTGGTGTTAAATCAAAAAGAGACATAGCATTGTCATCTTTGCCTGGCAAATAAAGAGCAAATATTGAAACTGAAGAACAGCTGGAAGAAACTTAGCACTATTGAATAAAATATGAGCTGTAACCATACCAAAAAACACATTCCAAAGGAAAATATTGAAGAGAAGCTGTGACCAAATAACATGAATTTATTTTTAAAAAAAAGAGCAGCTACGAAAGAGGATCTTCTACTGCATGCAATGAAAATGTTACAAACCTGAAAATGAAAATTTCCTTCCACTCAAGTTAGTGATATTGTATGAATACAAATCCCTCATGTCAGTCGTGGTTGTATGTGTTGGTGGTTGTTGTTTGAATAAAAGATCTGATTTTTATAAATTAGCAAACAAAAATGTTACCCTGGAGTAGCTTTATATCCATAATCAGTTTAATTTGTAAAGAAAATATACTTTTCATAGATGAAATTTTTTTCTGAAGAAATGTCTCTAAGAGGAGCAATTGCAACTAAATTGAAATGGGGAGGATATACATGCTGTAATTGCAAAAAGATATGTTCCATGCCTAAATGCAGTTGTAAAAGCTTAGAACTTTTGTGTAATTCAGTGTGTCATAACAGTTTTAAATTTGTTGCAATAAATAAGATTGTATAACATTAATGACATAATTCAGGTGTAAGTTTATTATTACTATTATTTTCTTTTCTGATTTAGAATGTACGGTTCATTTTAAGTTCAACACTTTATTTTCATGTGTTGTAACTTAAGCCTTCTCCTATTTTGACATACATCATAATAAGTTTTAATAATAAAATATTGTTTAAAAATTTGAATTTTTGTCTTAATATGGCAAAAATATTTTTATTCAACACTGATCATTGGTGCATGCTGAATCTTGACACTGGCAATGTGTAAATGAAAAATAATGATATGTACTTATGATTTTTAATCAGAAAATTTTATGATTCGATGACCTTATTAACTACTGTTACTGCAAATATTACTGCTGACATTTAAGGAGCTGTATGGCTGTTAGATATTGGCAGAATGTCAGTGAATTTTTGGTCTTTTACTGCATGTAATCAGCAAGAACAAAATTAAGGGAATAAAACCTTTTGATTTGAAAGTACATACTTTGGGCTGTTATTTTATGTAGGCATGTATAGCAGGCTTAGCCATTTTTTTTAACTGGGAGACAACTTTGTATTTACCCTTACAATACATTTCTACAGTCTGTGAGAAAAGTTTCACTTTATTGTTTACTGGAACTTTACATTATCTGTGAAGTTCTTTCCTCAAAAAAATTCCTTTAAACTTTTGAAAAGATAAAGAGTACTGGTTGGTTAGGTTTGGGCTATAGGCCAAGTGCTTTCAAACTTTCCTCCAAAATCCCTATCCATACAACCACAGAAACAGCTTTCTGTGCATGCGGTGACATGCTATTAGACATTACTGCAGAGATTTCTGCTAGAAAGTGTTGTTTTCATAATAAAAGTTCTCAAAATAATAATTGTATTTCTGGATGGAGTGGTAAGTCTTTTGTATATGATGAGAGCTTTAACATAGTGTTATGTTATTTTCTTCCTTCACATTCGTACGGGGTTTCTGTGGATTTGGAGTGAATAATGACAACACTTAATGAAGTATCAAAACACACTTTATTTAGCCAGTACTAATCAGGACAGCTCCAAAATCACATTTTTACAGTCGTCGATGAACTACTATAAACACGCTGACACGATCAGCGACACAGTCTTCACAGTGTCAGGCAATAACGGTGGAGATAGCTTCATCGCAAAGCACTAGAGTACAGCTCCCGACTCTGCTTAGTCATTCTCGGAACTCCACGTAGTCTCGAGACTCTCCACGCTGCAACTCGCGATGCACTCGACGACACACAGAGCACAGCTCCCGACTTTTCGGTCCAGTCGTTCCCGGAGCTTAACATGCTCTTTTGACGATGCATTACCGCGATACACTACGAGCCTCTTTCGGTGCACTTGACGACCCACTTGGCACTCGCTGCCCAGCTGTCAACTCGAGCGACTCCACAGGGATTGACTCGCTAGACGAGACACCAACTCGATGCTAACTATCTCTCCACATACCAGCAGGGTTTATATAGCTTTTGGCTGGTGTTCGAGAACATTCTGAACAGCTAATCTTTATTAATTTGTTATTAATTAATTTTGTTTGCAAATAACATAACATCCTGTCTTAGAGAGCCTTGTGAATACTTTCTTTGTGAATGCCAGCAAACTTCAGAATAGAGAAGAAGCTGTTTGTCCTGGCTAGTAATTTCATCACACAGTGATGATATTCTAGTAATTTCATCACACAGTGATGATAAAATATTCTGCTGTTCAGTGGCTTTCCCTTAATAAAATTTATTATGTTGTCTCCTAGCATAATTTTGAATTTAGATGATGTACAGAGAGCTCATGTTTTACAAGTTGGCTGTCAGTGATTTTTTGCAAAAATAAATGAGCTTTATTGTAGCTCATTGATTTTGGAAAAATTAATGAGCTTTTGAATTTATGAGCTTTATTGTAAAAAATGAATTTTGTAAGAATAATTCAATTTTTTACATTAATAACTTTATTTTCATTGTATTATTTGCATGTTCAGCTGTCTTATTACTGATCTAATTCTAATCTTTTATTTTTTATTTATTATTTATTTTTTTTTTTATTTTCTGGGTGCTGTCTGACTTAATATTCATAATATTTTTAGGCTACTAATTAGTTGTACACTGGATAAAATAATTTGATATTTAAAATCTTTGGTTTTTAATCTTGTATTTTGTGTAAATCTTTTTTTTTTCCCTCACCCACCCAGGAGTTACTAGAATTTATTTTTGCTGAAAATAAAATTACTGGAAGCTGCATATCTCAGACTGGTAATCTTCCTGAATACTTTTTTTTATTATAGTTTTTTTATTATAGCTATGATTTGAACGTGAAACCCCTTTTCTTACTTTGATCTAGAGGCCCAATTATGTAAGTGGGATAACTCCACTGTAGTGAATGAGGTTCGTTGTATTTTGTTTACGTTGCATATTAACTGCATACGGAACCAAAACTACATTTCTTATAAACCTATGAAAAGCGAAAAGCAATATTAATATATCATAATAACTAACTGATTATCAATATTAAACACATGGAAGAAATTATCTTAGAAAGTAAGTATAGTTATTTTCCTCATTATGTGAGGATCTTGCTAGTGACAAGAGTCTGTCTAGTCAAGAGTTTTAGAACATTCTAAGTACTTTTGTTGTCTGGAATATATTGAAGATTGAATTAGTCACACCCTTTTAATTTTTCAATTGTATTTTCGATCCTCTGATTTGTTATACTTTAAGACAATGCCAGAGGATCCATGGAATCATTGATTGGTCAGCCCCCTGAAATTGAAAGGCTTTGATGATAGATAACAGTGCAGGTTGATTGGTTCTGTAATGTCAGAGCATATTGTCTTGCAGCTCGTAACAGCTCAAGAATTGTGAGTTATGAGAGGATCACACATATTTATTTTTTGTCTTTGTGTGGTCTACCACATAATAACAAACTTATTGTATTCATTGCTCTTTTCAGAGGTAGATTGAAATGTTATCATGCTTAATGTACACACGTTTTATCATATGGGAATGATATACATATAAAAAATACTAGTTCCAAAAGTGATTACTTAATACTAAATGTAATTACTTTTGAAAATTGAATTAACTTCAATATTAATTAGTTTTACATTTGTAATCAATCTTAAGTATTTTTATTAATATACTGTAGGCTATCTTAATTAGTTTCAATCACTGATCAAATTATTCCCTAATGATAGTAAGATTCAGAGAAAGTGTTGAATGCATTGACCGTGGTTAAACCGAGATTGTTAGTGTTTTCAAGGCAGCATTCTCAGCAGCAGAACTGAAAATTGTCATGCAGTATCTAAGTCACTTTGGTATTGAATCTCATTCTGGTACATATTTTTATGGTATCTCAAAGCCAAAAATCACTTAGTTTCATTTCAAATGTATATGATGACCATCTGAATAAAAGAAGTTATACTAATCACCCTTAGTGAATAATTCTTGCAAAAGCTGTTCCAAAGTGTATCCAGCACGAGATGGTGCTCTACTGTGTAAAAATGTTTTTCTGTCAATGCATTGGGTCATACATACATAATTCTGGGTGTAGGACAATACATGATAACATAGTTTTCCATCTTATTCAGTAGTAGCAAATTCATGAAATGTAGAGGTCTACTGTCACTTTTTTTGTATAGTTTACAGTTTAATACATTTAATTTTAAAGTGATAGCATACATATTGAGCTTAGTTGATTTTTAGTATACATATTGAGCTTAGTTGATTTTTAGTATACATATTGAGCTTAGTTGATTTTTACTTAATTATTTAGCATTGGATGTTTGGAATTGTTGCTTAGTCTGATTTATTGGATGATCATTTTCATCCCTCTCTTGATTGACCACTTAGGATTCTTGTTTTTACAGTAGCATTGAATCCTGATTTACACTAATGAATAATTTATTGAATAATCGTATAATCTCTCATGACTGAAGAGTTATGTGCCTTTCTGAAAGTTTTGAGCTAAGCTTTACAATAATTATGTCTCTACAAATCAGTCCACCAATTTTTAAAGAAACATACAGCATGCTGTGCCTGTGTTTTCATATTGACACAAAAATGCTTGACAAACAGCTTTTACTTAGGTAGCATCAAAATTATCTTGCCACTGAAGTCAGTGTTGCATTTTCTTTTGTATGTTATGAATTGTCATATAATATTTGTATTTCAAATTCTATTGGTCACAATCTGTCTATCCTTAAACAGAATTTTTGAAAGTAAGACTTTTTCATAAATTTCTTTGCTTACCACATATGGTAATATTTAGCCATTAGGTTATTTCTTCAAATAACATTAAATAGAATAACTTTACTTTGGATAATTTTGTTTCTAATTTAGTATTCTATAATTATTCTCAAATGTTGAATAAAATGTAAAGGAATTTATTTTCCCATATTTTTTGAACTATTAAAAATGTTGTTATAGATTTGTGTTCTTAATTTAATCGACTGACATAATTCATACACACAATAGCAATTCTTAACAAATCAAAATTTCTGTAACCAGGTTAGGTGTGAAACAATTTATAGAAATATCAATGATTTTAGCACTTAACAGGCATTGTAAGTTTATTTCTCGAATTTAGATTTATTGTCACAAATTAATTGATTTCTTTAGCAATAGAGGTTTACTGGAAAATGTATTTATTAGTTTTCAAATGTTTGTGTTACATAAAGTTTGTTAATATTGTAATATATTGTAAGAATATTATTCATATTTCTTTTTATAGCTTTACCAGGGATGGGAGGTTATGGATCAACTGCAAGTCTGACAAAAATGCCAGGATTTGGACACACTGTAAAAACACAAAGTAAATTTTATGTTTATTTAAAAAAACAGTTATTGCAATAATGCTTATATTTTGATTATTTTGACCAATAGATGTATTTACACTCATGTCCATAAATTAAGGATAATTTGGAGTCACGCGGAAATCAAACTCTAAAATAAATATATCACCTGTAAAATCACTACACACATCTTCAAGAATCGTATGCAAATTTCAGGAAGTAACCAGATGACACCAATGGTACGTCACAATGACGAGAGTGTAAGAGAGTGATATAAAAGAAATACAGTAAAATTGTAAAATTGTTTGCAGGTGCTTTATAAGCATTTCAGTGCAATAACCGAGGTAGTTATGACACAAAGGACGCATTTGGATGATTTTTTACGTGGTAGAATTATCGGCCGTCTGGAAAATGTGTGCGTACCCAACTGGAAGTATCAGACGAACTTGGAATTGCCCAGAGTGTCATCTCCAGGCTTTGGCAACGATTCCAAGATGATGGTAATGTGAGCAGACGTTACAGCACAGGTCGCCCCAGAGTTACAATGCTGAATGAGGACCGGTATTTGGCAGTTACTGCCAAAAGAAACAGGGAGCACAGCCTCACTCGTCAGCCACTGGTACGACAATTTCAAGGCAGACCGTGTACAGACGCTTAGGGCAGATTGGTTTATATGTTCGTAGACCTGTCAGATGCGTTCCACTTACTGCAACTCACTGTCGCCTGCGGTTAGCCTGGAGTAGAGAGCATGCACTGTGGACACCGCAACAGTGGGCTTGTGTGATGTTTTCCGACGAGTCCAGGTTTAGCTTGCAGTCTGATTCTCGCCGGACTTTCATATGGAGAGCTCCAGGTATTCGTTACCACCAAGAAAGCATCATTGAACGACACCGTTACGGTGGTGTAGGAGTGCTCGTTTGGGGTGGAATTATTCTGGGTTCCAGAACTGACCTTCATGTTCAAATTGGAATCATGACAAGCCATATCTATCGGGACGTCATTCTGGAACAACATGTACATTTGTTTCGGGGTGCCATGGGCACACAATTTGTGTTTATGGATGACAACGCCAGTCCTCACCGTGCAAATATCGTAAGCGAATGCCTTCAATCGGAGGATATCACCCGTACAGACTGGCCAGCATTCTCACCAGACTTGAACCAGTAGAACACGTGTGGGACATGCTTGGCCGACGAGTTGCAGCCCGTCAACCTCCTTCCTACATGTCTACCGGGAACTTCGGAGTGCATTGCTTTTTGAGTGATGTAATATCCCCCAAGATCAGATCGATAATTTGATACTCAGATGCCTAGGCGTTGTACGGACTGTATTGCATCGTCTGGGAGACATACAATGTATTAACAATCAAACCAACCATGTAATATTGGTTTTTTTGTAAATAAGGTTTTTTTTTTTTTTTTTTTTTTTGGTAATTTGCTCCAGGGAGAAAAAAATCGCTAATTTTTTTAATAATATCAAACACATGGCATCTTTTTTGGCTCTTTACCTTTTGTTTAATAAATAGCTTTACAAATAAGTCAAATTTCTTTTGCTTCTAACTTTTCCTTTGACTGATTTTCCATTATCCTTAATTTATGGACATGAGTGTAGTATATGTAGAGGTTCGGCTACAGCATTTTTGGTATCTTAGGCTATCAATGCTGATGATGCTCTGTATAAATTAAACATATTAATATTTCAAACAGAAATACGCTTTATTTATTTAAGGCAAACTCTTAGCGTTTGAAGTCTGTTATAAATGAATTATACATATGCTTTTCTTAAAACAAAGCTGTAGTCATTATACTGTAATTTTTTAACATTATTTTTTAGCTACAGAAATGCAAGGGAATTCAACTTTTCTTAAATTAAACATTCACTCAGATAAGGTTTTCTTAACTTCAGTTGAGAAAAGCTTTTCTGTTCTGCTATTTTTGATGTAGAAATCACCCCATCAGCTCCCCCTCACACAAAGAGAGAAAATTCAAAGGGCACATTATAATTTAGGGTAAATGTGTTCTAAAGAGTGCGCATAAAAATTTCTTTAGATATTTTTTGTCATTTTAAAAATGAGATCCTGTGTGAAGAAAAATTTTATGGTTTTCTCTTCAGCTTTAAAGTCTGACTAATCACTGCTTATTGTAATTTCAGTTGTTATTTCTGTTACAGGTTGCAATACAGAAAGAAAAATTATCTGTAGAAGCATGTATGAAAATTAAAACTAAAAGCAGAGGTGTCATTTTTAGATGCAAAAACAGAGGATTGCCTAGAAAAATTATAAGAAATATCCATTACAAAGGAAGTAACAAGCCTAGTCAAAATTAAAATTATTGCAGTAAAATTATAAACTACAAGAAACAGTCCTATCTTTAAAAAGTAGTTTCAGCATTCATATATCACACCTGCATTTCAGCATTCATATATTCATATTCACTTAAACATTCAGACATGTTTTTGTAAACAGGCTTAATGACACAGTAAAGTATTTTAATATTTTACTTCTGTGACTTGTGAGCAGAATTTAGGTGGCAGGCTATGTGTTTGCATAGGTCACTTATGCTTAGAACTGGGTCTAAGCATAAGTGACCTATGTAAGAATGTCTGCAGTAATAATAAATATTTCAAAATAAAACTTATGATTTCTTCTTTTGTGTATACTTGTTCTCAGGCTAAATATCTATAATAAATTTTCATACTACCTGAACGTTTAAAAATCCCACACAGAAAACGTAACTTTGAATTTGAAAACTTAAATATGCTAGCTAATCTTTCCTTTAAAATGTAGCAACAGCAGTATTATTTCAGAAATGTGTGAATTAGGCTAATCAAATTATTAGCAATTTCACATTATAAGAATCTGTTATCTGATTTGATTCATTTATTATCTTGATTAACCCTCTTTGTGTTAAAGTTTTTTTTTTTATTTTTTTATTTTATTCGCTTATGAAGAACTGCATTTAAACAGTATTTGTTTGCTAAATTTGCATAATTAATAACTTCAGTCTATGTTTTTATAACCTTTCATTCATTAAGCTAATATTCTGGTCATTAATGAAAATAAGAAAAATATCTTAGATAATAAGATAATATTCATCAAGTGACATAAGATCGCATGGCTAGGTGGCAGTCATGCCACTCAGAAGTTTTATGGAATGATTTTGTTTAGTATATTTCTACTTTTATTTCTTTCTTTTTTCTTCTTAATCTGCATTATGGTATTTAAAATTAATAAATTTTTCAAGTTGCATTAGTTTTTTAGGCTCTGTAATACTCCCAGAGCTGCATAATATGTATAATATTGTAACCACAAAGTAAACACCTCTGAAGTATGTGTCTGATAATTATGTTCTGACTAACTAAATGTTACATGGGCATTATATTAAAATTATTGTTTCAGTTTTAATTGGCATATGATATATGCATGTTATTTTATTTGATTTCATATTATGTCATTATTATATTGTTACCATTATTATTAAAAAAATGTATGGTAGAAATTTTAAGCAAGATTTTGTTAAAATTGGCAAGAAGGAAATATTAAATATTAAACGTCGTGGTGCACAATGAACTGGAAGTTGATCTGTCAGCACTATCCTTATCTTCAGGGCAGATGTTTTTATTTTATTCAGCTTATAATTCCTTACTAAATGTAGTATTTCATCTCGATGTATTCCTTTTTTGATATGATTTAAATCAAATTCCTCGTCATTATAAATATTATGAGTACACATCAAATAGTTTTCTGGTTGCAATTTTATAATTTCGACTATGCATAATGTATGCTTTACGCATGCACGCTTTGAAAGAAATGTTTAATAAAGTAGACAAATAAATATTAAGCTTTTTTTTTTTTTTTTGTGTAAATTTTGATAGCCATTAGATCATAATTGCTCTTTATTTCATAAATTACAGTTTCATATTTTTAATTTTATAATTTCTGCATGCCATCTTACCAGATTTAAACTGATGATCTATAATCTGGAAAAGCCGATAATCCGGAATCGCCGAAGTCCCGATGAGTCCGGCTGAAAGACTTTTGACTGTATTTATTAATCTCTCTTTTGTTATTAAACTTATTTGATTCTTCATTTCACATTTCGAAATTTAGGTTCATTCCACATAAAATTCGTCCATTTTTTATGATTTATTTTTAAAAATTGTATTTTTAAGTAAATATTTATAGATTTTTTTAAAAAAATTTGAATTATAATCTATAACATTTTTACCATCATCTTAAAGTACACGTATTACTAAGCGTACCTGCAAAAAAATTACAGTTTTTTATTCAAAATTTCTGAAGATATTAGAAGATTAATATTTTAGTGCGTTTTTTAATTTGGCATATTTGTTGAAAGCGATAATAACATCAAATGCGGTTTTAGGCACTTTGTTAAAATTATTTGAAAGTAGGAACGAGGTGACTTTCACCCCTGCTCTTGCGCAATGGAAGGGAAAGGAAAATAGTTTGCCATATATTAAGAAGTTCGCCAAGTGAATTATTCTTGGCGAAAACTGAAAAATATTTGTCGAGATAAATTTTTGAATTTCTCCGTAAATTTTGCACCAAATTTAACAAAATTTAATGTTTAGGCATAATATGAGTTGTAGAATCGAAATATGGAAAGAAATTGGCATGTTATTTCAGAAAAATTCCGATTTTGTGTCAAAATACTTATGTTATAACAATGCTATATATAAATCTAATATTGTGTCCTAAATCGAGCTTTTGGAACATGAAAAAACGCAATTTGAATTTTTTCAATGGGCCCAGTGGAACGGGAGGTATAGAAGTGTCCCCCCTTTTTTTTCACAGTGTACAATATCATGTGCAGTGCTTCATTTATGTACAGTATGTATTTCATGCTTTGAATTTTATTAAATAGTGCTATAATAATAACAATAGGATTTTTTTATTAGATTGATTCTTTTCTCTTTATTCTATAATGGAAAAGTTATTTGGTAAACGCACAATTTCGTATGCGTTTAAAGATCTGCAATGGAAAGATGACATATACCAAAGTACCACTGTATTTTGCTAAACAACATTGCTATTAATTCATTACTAGAGTTTTTTTTATTAATGATTTTTTAATCATCTTCAGAGAAGTTAATAAATGCATTTTATTAACAATTAAGGGAATTTATGATATGTCTGATACCTTCTTAAGAATGTTAACATTTCTTTGTGTAAAAGGAAGTTTATGCTTAAAAGACATAATGACATTTTTGTTTTGTTGAATTACCAAAACTATAATCCATTATTAATTGAATTTAAATGAAATCATGTTTAAAAATATTTCTAACATTTAACCATACTTCCTCAAAATAAATAAAGCAAATTATGTATTTCAATTATGCAGGGCAACTTGAATTTCTGATTCATACTTGTAATAAAATATAAGTAAAAATTAAAATCTATACTGAAATTAATTTCAGATGTATTGTATTTTTTACTTTTGTAAATTTCATTCAATATCATCTTTTTCATTTTAATTTTAGAAATTCTAGAAAAGTATTGTAATTTTAATGTTCAACAGTATAATCTGGAAAATGCCCTTAAACATTGATTTGATACCATAAATGAAATTTAGTTTGCACATTTTCTAGAGTCTGTTACGGAAAAAGTTAGTGATGGCCTTACAAACCTCGTTGAGAAATTCAAAGCATCTAATGATAAAGAAAAGCAAGCTATCCAAATGTCTTATCTCAATGAGTCTATTCCTAAATACAAGCCACTTATTATTGATAAAAGTCAGTCAGATTGTAATGTATCAAGTTTTGAAGAGAAACCTTTGTCTGTTCAACAAGCTACAGTTCTAGCTCATGCTAAAAGAAAAGTCAGAGGTGATAAAATTTTTTTGTGAAATATTTTTATACTTTTTCTATTATTATTATTTAAATACCCTTAATTTATTTTATTTTACAATTTAAATTAGCTGAAAACAAAATTAAAAAGGTAATTTGATCATAGAATTAAAAATATGTATATATAAATGTTTGAATTATACAGAAGGTGTTTATTCATTTTTAGAACGATTTAAGTAAATAATTTTTAATAAAGCAAATGTTTTGAAATAAAAATTTCTGGCAACAATTTATATTTATCTTGAGAAATATTGTCTGCTACTTTTAAATTCATTTTTCTTTTAAAATGTCACATATAAACAGCTGCAGATTCAATGATATATTTTTGTGCTTTCCAAAGAGAAATATTCCTATTCCATGATTACATTAAAAACATATTCAATTAATACTGTCACAGGGACTGGTTATTTAGTAAATTTTCTTATAGAAAACATTTAGCACATTAAATTTATATACATTAGGTTTTCTTATCTGTGAGATGATCTTCTTTTATTATAAAATACTTGAAAAAATGCCGGTTTGTTTTACACACCAACTATCTGTACATAAACTTTTTTAAAATTCCATATGTTATCAGCTGACTGACTGGTAACATAAATAAGCAAAAGTCAGTTTTCTGACATAATTTAAAATTGAAATGTTGTTATTATGTGAAATGTAATGTTGTGAATGTTCTTGAAATATTGGTATTAGTTGAATATGGCAAAGGACACAAGAGCTATCTACGTAAGGAAAGGGATGCCTTTTTATGGTGGACTTTCTAAGGGAGACTGATTCATAGTCTCTTGGGAAAACTATGAAACCCAACCACGAAGCCAGCCTATTCGCTTGAGTTTGGATCTAGGACAAACTACCAGTATTTAGCAGTCTTTAAGTGCTCAGCTAGTGGTGAACTCTTGAAACTGAAATAACATCATTTCATTGTCCTGAAATTTTCAAAAGTTTGTGTTACTTTAACAGCATAAATTTTTGAAATGTGTATAATAAAATTAGTATTTCTTCATTGGTTATAAAATGACACAGAAAACAAGAAATTTTTAAATATAAATATATAAAGAGAGAGAAAGATATTTTTCCAATGTAAATATATATTAGCCCTTTGCACTCAAATTACTCTTTTCATGCACACACAAAGTTTGACAAATTACTTGAAGTGTGCCTCTCAGGTAAGCTATCAATATGTTGCAATAACTAATCAAAAATTTTAATTGGTAATTGAATTTCCATATTAATAATTTCAAATCTGACTAACTTTTTCTGATGCATGTCCTTGAAATATAATGGTTTGCACATCCAGCTAGTAACTGGAAGATCTGTGATTGTAGTCACAGGAAGGACATATTTACTTTTTCACGTTCCCCAAGTCAAAAGCTTTTAATCTCTAGTCTATGATTATAAAAAATCAAAGAATGCACTATTCATCACAATGAGAAATATAACTGAGAATATGTTGTTTCACAATTAACATTGATGATGTGTATGTTTGTAATGATTAATAAAATTATTTAGAAAGCCATCTTTTTAACATTGATGATAGTTGTACATTCTGTCCTCTGGAGAAAATTGTATCCTTAAAACAATCATTTCTACAATTGTCAGAGAACAAAAAGATTTAAAAAATTTGGTTTAATCTAATGTGTGAAATATCCATTCAGTAACCGGCATCTGATTCTTTAAATAATATTAATAAAAAAGATAAGCAGATAAAAAGTTATAATTACAGTTGCATTTATAGAAATTCACATTTTGAAAAACAAAATAACATTGTAAAAATTTGTTTTTTAATTTTTAATTTCAAATTAATAATTTAATATTCAAAAATAAAATATTAAAAACATTATTTGTTGTAAAATTTCTCTGAGGAGAAGTTCAAATGCAAAGAATTTGATTTCTGTCTGGCATTAAGCACTCAGTATCAGTACATTTTCTAATCATCATAAAACATCACAAACATTGATCTGGTCTTAAAATTTTTACAATCACTTAAAAAAAAAAAAAAAAAAAAAAAAGAGATTTGCCCTAGCATTTAAGCTACCAAAGTCATAAGCGACATTACACTTTGTAAAATCTGTGCATATATTACAGAATCTGATTGAACATGCTTACCACTAAGTATGCAAGGCCTTTTTATCAGAATATAACATTATCTGGCATTTGTTTCAAAAGGATATAGTAAAGTTAAATTAAATTTAAATAATTCTCTTGTGCCATTGCTGCAAGAAATGAAATTTGAATTTAACAAACATTTTCTATTCGTAAAAAGCAAATAATTACTGTTAATTAAATTTTAAATTAAATTGAATTACAAATAAATGGTTAATTATTGCTGCGAACTAATCTACAATATTATTTAAATTCTTAGAGCATAAAAAATTGGGAATTTCAATGGTATTGCTAATTTAATTCACTAAAATTTAAAGCTGAAATGAACTATAGTACAAAGTCCATAATCTGGATGTTCATTATCCGGAATGATCTATAATCTGGACCTCAAAGCCGCAAACTTACGCATGCACGTAAAGCATTTACGCATGTGCGTTTAATGTGCGCGTAAAGCCAGTAAAGAGTTTACACATGCGTGCTTCCGATACTAAAGAAAGTGACAGAGAGGTTATTGAAAACGAAAAAATTTCAATTGACAAGTTAGTCGGTATTCTCGACATAGCAATTACAGGATTTGAACATTGGAACTTTGTAACTGAACAAGAAATTATGTCTGTTTATAGAAGAGAGAATTAAAGAGAAAGTATTAGCACAAAAAACGAAGCAACTTAAAAAACTTACATTGAAAGAAATGTTTAATAAAGTAAACAAATAAATATTAAGCTTTTTTTTTTTTTTTTTTGTAAAATTTGATACTCTTTAGATCATACCATATTTGATGGCATATAAGACGCACCCTTATTTAGAAGGCCACACACAAGGAAAAAATGTTTCAATAGTCCGCGCGATAGCACGACACCACAATAACTTAAAATGGGGTTTCTTTTAGTTCTCACATTTCGTAAAAGCAAAAAAAAAAAAAAAAAAAAAAAAAAAAAAAAAAAAAAAATCATTGAATGCAATTACCAAACATATTTTTTTAAGGAAAATTAACAAACAGCAAGCTATTTTGAACATGATATGTAAATTTCAATAATGAATAAATGAATGAACGGCGAGCAATCAAACATAATACAAAATAAAGCAGAAACAACAAAAAATACGGATTCAAGGAAAACGTTGCCTATCATGAAATTAGACTTTAATCACTTTCAAAACCATAAAAATCCTTTTCACTATTATCATCATCGAAAACGAGAATATCGTCATCATTACTGTTTCCGTCATCGCTAGTATCGCCTTCGAATAATGCGTCGTCTTCTGTTCCGTCAAGAGCATTACTGATTCTGCACTTCTTAAAGGACTTAACAATTACTTCAGTCTTTACGTCCTCCCAAGATCTTTTTACCCACTCGCACACTTCTGAAATAGAGGGCCGCTTCATTTTACTTGAGGGTGTGATGTGGCTCTCCTATCCACTTGTTCCATCGTTCTTGCACCTTTTCCTTAAATGGCTTATTCACCGATACATCTAAAGGCTGCAATTGGCTACCAGGAATGACAGCTATCTGGGGTTTTAATTCTCTTGCTTTATTTTTTATGGTTTCAGTTTTATGGGCACTAAACTGATCCAAAACCAAAAGAGAGGGTTTTCTTAAGAGTCCATCAGGTCTCTTTGCCCATACGTTCTGTAACCACAGTTTCATTCCAGCTTCGTCCATCGAACCTTTCGGATGAACATGAACAATTACACCGTTGGAAGTTTTTCTTTGGAATATGAAAAATGGTGGTAGTTTTGTGCCATCAGCAGCACATGTTAGAACTACAGTATATCAGGTTTTTTCATGACCTGTGGTTTTTATGGTTATTGATTTAGACCCTTTAATACTCACAGTCTTGTTGGATGGTACATCAAATGTGAGTGGAATTTCATCCATATTTCCTATTTGACCGAGCTCAAAAGAAGTTTTCTTGCGTGCATTTATAACAAACCTATGAAATGCTAGTATTTTTTCTTCATAATCTGCTGGCATTTTCTGTGCAATAGTTGTTTTTGTGCGCATTGATAAGCCTTGCCTTTTCATGAACCTGTAGCACCAGCCCTCAGACCCTGAAAAGTTCTGATTCCCATGTTTTTCTGCAAATCCTTTGGCCTCATTGATTATCATTTTTGGTTGAAAAACACTTATCCCAGATTTCCTCTTATCTATCACCCACATTTTTACGGCATTTTCAAGTTCAGGCCAAGATGGAGCTGGGCATCGAAGGTTATGTTTTTGTTTTTTAGCAGTCTTCAGTTGATCTTCCTGCAGTCGCCAAGTACGTATAATTTTTTCGGTAGGTGGTGGACCAAAATGCCTTGCTGCTGCTCTGTTTCCATGCACTTTGGCGTAGTTTAACACTCCTAGTTTATACTGAATTGTATAGCTTAATCTCTTGTTTCCTGTAGTCATATTTTCCAGGGTATTTTTTTTAAACAAATAGTTTTAAGCACTGATACTGACACGTGTGTTGGCTGAGTCAAAGAAAGTGTATGTAAAGAAGGAAAAGCTCCATAGATGTAATGTGACCGTCGAACCTGTTCGAACTTCGACATCAGCTTCGAGCTTTGGCGCTTTTTGGTGACAGATATTTCACGCATGCGCAAAATAATTATGGCAGATGTAGAAAACGTTATGTGTGTCTAGACCAGGGGTCGCCAAACTTTTTTTATCATCGCCCCCTATATAATTTTTCGAAATCTCCATAGACCCCCACAAAGGTAATTTTCAGGTAATTAAAATAAAACTATATATTAGTCTAAATATTTAGTAAATCAAAAACAGTAAGTAAAGTAGCTACAGATTTTTTACTTCTTAATGAGATGAGTGCGCCTGGTGTTTCTTGGCAAGGTTCGCTATATTGGGTTCGAAATTAGTCAATTTTAACCGTACAAT